AAAACAAAAACAATGAGGTGGACAGTGAGTTGATTGAAGGACATTACACACCTGTTGCCGCCCTCTTTGCCAGATTTGGTGGTCTTCTTAACACGTCTTTGAATACATTCCCTTTTTTCCTGAATAATAATTTTTAAAAAAAAGTATGCATGAGTAACAAAAAAATTGAATTAAAAAACAGATTTAACATAAATCCATCAAGAAATGACCCTGAGCGTCACCTTGGTGCTGTTGTCAGTGAGACGTCGCTGCTCTTTGAGAGTTCACTCTGACTGATAAACTGTCCTGTAAAGTCCAAACAGAAGACACAGTAAGGGAGAATATTCAGAATAACAACGTGTAGTTATTTAAATTTAAAGTTACTTAATGTCATACTACAACATTACCGGAGCTGGGGCTGATGGTTCAATGATCTTGGAGGATCTTTTGAACATCCCTCCGAATAACGCCGCTTTTTGCTGCATGAGAAGTTACATAAAAAGAATATTAACCATGAGGAACTAAAAAACATGAGGGATGAAACCAAACTAATATCTACTTTGGTTTCAGCTCTGACATACAGCAAAGGCATCTTTAATTATAGTCGAGTAAGAGACAGTAAATATTATGTGTAACGACCTGTGAGTCAGCAGCAATCTGCCTCTATTTGAGGACTGAATGGAAGAAAAAAAAGGATGCTAAGAATGACTGAACATTTATGTGTGTGAAAGGATGCAAAGTCACTTGTTTTTCATTCTTACAGTCCATCTTCAGGTCCAGAGTTCTTGTCTGGACTTGAAGCTGCCTTCATGTCTGGACAGGAATCAATGTTGACAGTAAAGATAGAGGGATTGTTCTGTTCCTAGCTCAGAGAGAAACAATCATACTCTATATCTCTCTATACTCTCTATAACAATTTTAAGAAGCACATGCTACTTTAAGAAATAGAGACAAAATCCTCACAATAACCTGCTGGCTCTTTGTTTACAATTTTTCTGTTCAACCTCACATTATTTTGTAAGCCTTTTCCCTGCATCATTTTGTGGACTGGAAATTAGCTTTTTGCCGAGCCGTTAGCCTAGCTGTTAGTTTGAAAACCCATGTACAGAGGCTGAAGCCCTCCAAAGTGGGCAGGCTGGGTTCGAATCCAACCTGCATGTTTTCCCATCTTCTTTTCAAAATCTCTGACTCTATCCAAAGGTCCTGTCTCTCCAATAAAAAGGCTTAAAAAGCTCAGAAATAAAAAATTAAGAAATCTCCTTTTCAACATGTTAAGTAGCTCTTAAGCAAATAACGGTCTCAGACCATCACTTTCAAAGGCTTCATCTTTAAGGAAATACAAAAATGACATGGTGTATACAAAGCTCTGTCACACAGAAAGGTTAACAAACTGGGTTCAACTGTATGTTGTTTTTTCCATGACTATGCAAATGTCTCAGAAAGAGCAGTTCTCAGGTTTCTTTGACACGCTTGTTTTGCACTCAAACATGTACAAAGACAACTCCTTAAAACAAAGTCACATTGAGAGAGCCAGCTGAACGCTTAAAGCTTAAATATGTTCTGAAGGTGTTCACGACTTTAAAGAACAGTGAAGGAAATATTCTCTTTCTAGAACTCCCATCAAGAGACAAAAACAACGCTGAATCTCTCTGTCGTCTATCGAGCCGGACTTGACAAAGCTCCACTTTCCGAGCTATAATACTTCTTCACTTCTTTGTACAAAGGCACACTGTAGTAAACATAATGACTGCTTCCTTGTTGCACAGCCTGAAGGAGTCAATACAGCTCATTGTGTTTAAGAATCACTGTTTAAGATTCGTCACCAATATACCCCTGAATTGAATTTAATGTAATCCATGTTTCAGCAAATACTGTGTCATTGTTCAAAGAAAAAGGCCAGTTAGCCTATCAGATTGCAATATTTTGACTGAACTCTCCTTGTTTCTACAAGGAGAGTTCAGTCAAAATATTGCATGGGGGGCAAACTGGCAGGTACACTGCTGACGTGACTTTTTACCAATTTGATATAGGCCACAGTAAAGAGCCAATTCTGAGGCAACAAAATGACTATTTTCAGAGGATTATGTATGATTGAAAACATGTCAATCAATCAATCTTCATTTTAGAGCTCCATTTCATAACAAATGTTAGCTCAAGATGCTTTGCAAAAGTAGCAGGTAAAAGACCTTACTCTTCGTTATGTTCTCTACAAAGACCCAACATGAATCCATCATGAGCACTGAGCAACATTTGAAAGGCGGTTGTCGTGCAGCAATGCATCAGCAACGTGCTTGGCGCTGATGCCGAATGTGTCGAGAAAGCTGGTAGTTACAGTGGCAAGGAAAACGTCTTTTAGAGGCAGAAACCTCGAGCAGAACCAGACTCTTAATGAACAGCCGTCTGCCGGAAACACGCTGGGCTTGGAAAGTGGGATGGAGGGGAATGCAGGAAGAAGGAGAAGGATAGATACAAACACAGCAGCAACAACAATGGAAAAAAGTCTTTAAATACTTGATTTTAGTTAGACAGGTAGTCTACCATTTGATGTGAAACACTGTTCCTTGACCCATAGCAAAATGTGTTGTGTAAGGGGGATTCATTGGTGATGCATTTGTCCTGAAGAAACCTTGAAGGTTAGTCCAGCCATGGCAACAGGGCTACAGTTTCTACACTGTATCATGACCTGCTGAAATTTAGTATCTCACCCTCATCAACAATGTCAGAAAAGAAAACAAAATGTGTCATTGTCCACATACTTTTGCAGTGCAGCGTGTAGGTAGGTGTGTTGACAGTTTCAGTCACACAAATTAAAGTCGGGTAGAGGTTAACTTTTACTAACATATGTTTTAAACTGACAGAAATACAAAGATTTCCCATCTCAGGGGAAAATGAGGGCGGGATGCACAACCATTCAAAAACACTACCAGCTTTCTAATGATACAAAGATTAATGCAGCACTTAAAGTATCCCTTTAAACAAAACACAAAGAACTCCACAAAAACCTTAAGACAGAAAGTTAAGCAGCTTTTAACAGCTTTAACATCATTGACAGAAGATATCTACTCACAGCTACTCCTCCTCCTCCTCCTCCTTCACACTCCAAATCCAAATCCAGGTTGTCGTATCGATCCTGTCAAACACAAAGTTTATCTTTTAACGCACATTAAACCAAACAGCAAACAAGACTGTGTCGAGGATTATGGTGTTGAAAAACTACACAAACATGTTTCGACACAAACTTTTAGTTGTTGTTTTTTATTTTTTGAAGATACGTGAACTCACCATGGTGTGCTGTTGTTTCGCGTCGGGTTATTCCTGCGGGTTTAACCGGTTTTGTTGATACTGCCAGCTGTTGTCACTCCCCAGTGTTGCCAGATCTCGCGAGAGAAACACGCAAACCAGCTCTATGGAAACAAGCCCAAAACAAGCGCGCCTGGCTCCTCAAACAGATAAAAAATGAAGCCAAACAGGTTACCTAACCCACCACATAGTTTAAAAGAGAGATCAACAGATCGGGAAAACCCAAAGAAACGGGGGTTGTGGACGGATCCTGGAAATGGACAAACTATCGCGATCGTTTTTCGCTTTTTGTGGAGAGAATCAGTAGTCTATGGTAGGGATTCATACCATACAGGGAGCAAAGCAAGCCCAAACAAGCAACTGCACTTTAGAAAACAAACCCAAAAACCCCGCAACCCGCGTCTGACGATATTTGCAAGCGACTTTACAGGAAAAAAACAAGCCCAAAAGTCGCTTATAACAAGCGGACCTGGCAACACACTCGCTTACATTTACGAGAATAAAGTCGTACATTTTCCGAGATTGAACTTTGGAGACCAGCCTGCACAAAGTGATGTCTCTTAAAGCAGGCGTGGGTTCTCTGAAACGTATTTTCATCCCCAGTGGAGTCATCGATGAAAACGTATTGGTCAATTAAGATTTATTAAGTGACAATTAAGCCAATCGTAGCTGTTACAGGTGACGCACGGTGAAGGTACATTTGCATTTAATCCTCCTGTCACTCATCACTGTCTGACTCAAAGCTTGTAGCATCCTCCTGAAAGAGAGTTAGTCACCCAAACAAATGTTTTTTAAGATAAATCCACCTCACTAAACAACTTACGTGTAACATTTTCTCCTCTTGGTTGTTATTTACTCCCGTAACTTTACGATGTAGCGGAAGTCCCTTTTGCAGTCTTTCAAAATAAAAGCACATTACATGACATTCGCGGTAGAAAGGGTTGTCCGCATCCAGAAGGAACAAGGAGAAACAGCAATTCCAAATGTATGCACAGCATTGAAGAAAAGATGTAAGCTGGCAAGTCCCACATTGTTTGTTAAACAGTTTTTAAAAAGGTCTAGTTAGCTATTTTACTTGTTTTTTTTAATTATGTATTTAACATGGACAGTACACAATACATACATTGCAATAATTCAAATGGCTGTCAGCTAATTTTGATCTGTACATCTTTTATAGGCTCAATCCAGCTGAGATGGGATTTTTGGCTGAATATGCTGCTGTTATGAAGCCTGTCACCCTGGCCCTTAACATCCTCCAGGGCGAATCATCTGTGCATATGGGCTTCCTGCTGCCAACACTTCACCGGTTGCAGGACAAGCTGAACAAGCAGGAGTCAGCTGTGTGGACCACTCATAGACGCCCTGAAGCACGGGATCCAAAAACGTTTTGGAGAGACAATGAAAGACCCTGAGCTGATTGCAGCAGCGATACTGCTACCAAAGTTCAGAGCATCCTGGACCACAGATGACAACATCATAAACTCTGGTAATATGCCCACGTATCAATTCAAATGTAATCATCATTAAAAATCAACACAAGTCTTCCAGCGTCTGCAGCCTGTGAGAGACTCTTTAGCCATGCAGGGCTCCTGTTCACGAGTAAAAGATCACAAATTCACTGCAAACATGTTGAGAGCCAACTGCTGTTGAAGTTTAACAGTCACTTCAAAGAGTGATTCTTTGGGAAGGAACATGCAAAAACACATACTGTCACACACACACACAAGCACACTCTTGACTGTCACACATACACACACAAACACACACTAACACGCACACTCTCACAATTGTAAACTGTAAGAGACACTCACAATCACAACTTCTCTCACACTAACAATCGAACAAACTCACACACACACTCACAATCACACAGACACAAATTCACACACACTCACAATCACACAGACACAAACTCACACACACTCACAATCACACAGACACAAACTCACACACACTCACAATCACACAGACACAAACTCACACACTCACAATCACACAGACACAAACTCACACACACTCGCAATCACACATACACAAATTCACACACACTCACAATCACACAGACACAAACTCACACACACACTCACAATCACACAGACACAAACTCACACACTCACAATCACACAGACACAAACTCACACATACTCACAATCACACATACACAAATTCACACACACTCACAATCACACAGACACAAACTCACACACACACTCACAATCACAGACACACACTCACAATCACACATACACAAACTCACACACTCACAATCACACAGACACAAACTCACACACACTCACAATCACACAGACACAAACTCACACACACACACTCACAATCACAGACACACAATCACACAGACACAAACTCACACACTCACAATCACACATACACAAATTCACACACACACACTCACAATCACAGACACACAATCACACATACACAAATTCACACACACACTCACAATCATACAAACTCTCAATCACACAAACTCACTAACAATCACACACCCACAATCACATTGACACAAACTCACACAATCACACAAACTCACACTAACAATCACACACTCACAATCACAGAGACACTGTTTTTCTTTGACACATTTCCTCTTCTCCCTGTGTTTACTTTGAATGCCCGGAGTCCTGGTGTATGACAGTCTGAGTGGTCTCTTTTTCAGATTCTCTGTAGTTTCATACATTTTCACATAATAATCTAGTTAAAGTTGTGTTTCTTTTTTGGCAAGTGAGTTTGCCAGCAGGTTTTGATGTGTATTAAAGTTTGATTTTTGGTGTTTTATATTTTTTGGGCTGAACACAACCCAGATCATTTTGTCAGGGCCTGTCACATGTTGTAACCTAGGAATTGGTTTATGTGCAAAATAATTGCAACAATGTAATAAATGTATTGGTTTTAATTAATATGATTTTGGATAATCCTAATTTATTATACTTTTAGTTAAAGGGTGATGTATTTAATTTTCCAAAGAATTAATTAATTTTTGTTTTAGTTCAAGGGTTATTTATTTTATTTTAAAGACCTTATTTATTGTTTTATTTAAAATATTATTATTTAACATATCTGAATTTGAACATTGCTGTTTTATATTATGTTGTGTCTATTTTGTACCATTTGTGTTGCTCTGAATATTTCAAAAATAAATCTGGAGAAACTCAGTACTTGTACTCTTGAGTACTTGAGTAGTCTTTTCACTGCATACTTTTTTACTCTTACTCGAGTAATTATTTTCATGAGTACTTTTACTTCTACTTGAGTAATTATTATCTTAAAGTAATAGTACTTTTACTTGAGTATTTTTTTTGGCTACTCTACCCACCTCTGACTGGGAGCTAATGAAGGGAGGCTAAAACAGGAGTGATGTGGTCTCTCTTTTTAGTTTTGGTGAGGAGTCGGGCTGCTGCGTTCTGGACCAGCTGTAACTTGTGTAGACTCTGTTGATATAGACATGTGTACTGAGAGTTACAGTAATCTAAACGAGAGGAAATAAAAGCATGTATTACTGTCTCTAAGTTGTTCTACATGAAACTGAACCAGCGTTGTAGAGTCACTTCTATCCTAATAAACTTTAGAAGTCAAGGCAGAATTGTACAGGTATTTTTACTCTCTTCATTATTTGCATCCATGTTTGCTGATATTCTTCCTCTGCCTCCTCAAACTACATTTCTCTGTGTTTTACTGCCACCAACAGTCCATCAGTGGAATAGCATGAAGTCTGTGAAATAAGTGTGTATACAGTTTATACAGTGACAATAAGAGGGTTATGAGAGGATTCTAGATTTAAGTTTAGTTAGTAAGAGGACAAAGGATTTCCAAACTGGTTATGGTTTTCCACCTTGAAACAGGGTTATTGACTCTTCAGAATCAGAATAAAAACACAAGATCTCCTGCTGACAGCTTAACAAGAATAAGATAGAAATATAAAAAGCAATAAAATATATAATAGAATATAAAACACAAAATGTGCAATGGAGGATTTGTGCAGATGTGCATGATTTGCAGTCTAAAACAGAGTGCAATGTAAACAGAAAATATAGAAGTCCAGTGAGCGTTAATGTAACGCATCAAATCAGTTTCAGCCTTCACATTACTGTCGTGTACTGAGCTCAACTGTACTTTTGACACAAACAGGCAGCAATTCTATACAGAGATGTTCCTAAATCAAAATTTGGTCGCATAGGCTGAATGTGCGACATTTTACACATACTGTAAATATAGCAGAAATCCAGTATATCCTCTGTCATAGGCGTAATTTATAGGGGGGTGGGTGGGTTGCAACCCACCCAATAATCCAAACCAGCCACCACAACCCACCCAATATGATATCATAATTATTGATAATAAATATCAATGAATGAAGGTGAAAGTAGCAGCAAAAGCAGGGAAGACAGAGGGATCAGAGAGAGAGAGAAGGCACAGGTGACCATGTAATAAGGTCAAAGAGTTCAAATGTTGTTGTTAAGCAGCTAAAAACATAGTTTTAGTTATCCATAGGTGTGATCGTGTGATTTTCCTCACAGAGAGAGACAAGCTGAGAGCAGCATTCCAGTCTGTGGAGAGGGTTCAGATGAGCAGGTAAAAATGGTCATGCAGGGCATGTCCTCAGACCTGCTTCACAGGCGGAAATCCCCCCCCCCCCCCAATGTTCAACTCAGTTACGTCCTTGTCCTCTGTAAATATTGCTGTGAGTCATGACTGTCTAAAAGGAGTGCCATGTAACCGGTTGTGTTTCTCTGCTGGACTATGGAGGGTTTGTGTCTGTCTCATTTCTTTATGCCTCGAGGAAGCAGTTAAGAGATATGTTGGTCGCAGCACTAAACACACACACCTTCAGCTCAGGAGAGATTCCTTTGCTCAGGTGCGCACTGAGCCCTGAGCCTGAGCCACTGTGTGTGTGGGGCAAACATTGCATCCTATTGCGGCTGACAACGGCGCGAAGCAGTGAGTGAGCGTGTCGTGTTTATGGTTATAAGACTGGAAAAGGAGATTAATAACGGACTCGTTCTCTCTGCCTGCTCGCTCTGGAGTCCGGAGCATTTACCAGACGTGGGAAATTCAAATTTAGGAGCGGCTCACTTCACCAGGTAAACTCGAGGAGCGGCTGGCTTGACCGCAGTTGCAGAGCCGAAGTGAAGTGTCGGGAAAGGAAAAGACGGTTCAAACCATCCGTGCCTTCTTTAACCCGGCTTCAGAGGAATACCTAGAGTGTTGCTTCATGCAGTTCACGGACACATGGCTGAATGACCTCACTCGTAGATGCTGCGTGATTGGAGGGGCAGTGTTAGACAGGTTTATACCTCTAAACAGCCAGATCACTTCCGCTTGTCACTCATTTCACAGAATGGGGCCCCTCGTGCTTCTCTTCTTTTCTCTGCTGCATTTATGTGCGACACAAGGTAAGAACTTTATTTAGTGTATGTTTCCTGTTGTTGAAGTTTCTTTTGTAAATATCTGTACTTCTGCACGGCTTTAATGATAGTTAGATCTAACAATGTAATCTGTTTTTTCATTAATGCAACACTGAGAGTTTATACAAGGCCTTCATACTTTAAACTGGTGGTGTGTGTGTGTGGTGTGGTGTGTGTGGTGGTGTGGTGTGGTGTGGTGTGGTGTGATGGTGTGGTGTGGTGCGGTGTGGTGGTAAACTACTGCCTACAAGTAATACATTAAGAAAAAAATAAAGGCCAGCAAATATATATATTTTTTTTACAATTTCTCAATTTCCTGATCTGATGACATGATCAAATCTGTGACTTAAATGTGTTATTGATTAAACAGAACATAATGCCTCCTCAATTAAATGTACTGTAACACATGTGTATAGGACACAAAAACAAAATTTGTTATTTTGGCCGGTAAAAAAATAGATGTATAATGTTTGGGCGGTGAATGTTTTCATCTGCCGGCCACCTTGGACGGTGAGTCAAAAAGTTAATTTTGGACCCTGGGCGGTAGTAACATCGGTAGGGACCTAGGTTGTATGGGAGTTCATCTGTTGGAGATGTTCCAGGTCTCTTTCCGGCCAAATTGCTCTGATCCCTCAAGCTACTTACAGCTTTCATCCATGTGTCCGCAGGCTTCACAAAATCCCTGTGCACATACATCCTTACATCCCATCATCCTTTCCTCTACCCTTCCTTCACTCTTTCACACAAACCCGACTCCAGTTATGTTCTGTTCTGACATTTTATTATCACTGAAAGGGACATTTGATTTAAAGCATCGTACAAGAGCACAGCAGATAATGACATACGACGTGCAACACAACCTGACAGAATACTAGAGAAAGGAAAATATTATTGTACGTTAAAACAATACTAAGAGCATTAATTACAATAGGAATATATAAAACTTGTATCTGCTTCTGCTCCTACTGCTCACTCAGGCAGCTGCTCAGGGAGCCTCAACACCTAATCAAGTCGGCTTTCTTCATCCTCTTCCAATTCAAACTGATCATCCCCTAACAGCTATGACGCGCTCCCTGTGTTTCAGTCCCACTCTGACATCTCTCTATTAGTGCACGTTCAAAGGTCCTGTTTTTGCATGTTTGTATTTCTGGCCTTTGTGTGTGAGTAGCATGTCTCAATATCAGAGTGTAAATTAAAGTATATTAAAACATTCATTCCTGTTTTAGGTTTGTATTTTTAACCTTCAGTCAGGTGATCATTCTCTGTGTTTGTCAAGAACTTTAAGATACAAGTAAACAAGTGATACATTATTAACATGGAAATATTGATTCAAGTGTTTTTTTAATCATACACATGATTTTTATTTCTCTTCTCTCTGCAGGGACTCCTGTGTTTGTGCAGACAGGAACAGATTTACTTCTGGAAGTGAAGAAACCTGTTGATCTGAAGGAGACAGATTTATTTACATGGAATGTCAATGGCAGTGTATGTAATGCTGTGAGACTAATTAATGGTGTAAACCAACCATTTCCCAAATTATAAATCTAGAGTGGAATTTTTTGCACAAAATCACTCTCTACTGTTAAAGAACGTACAAAAGGGGGACAGTGGAGTTTACAGAGCAAGTCTTTCTGCTGACAAAGAAATCACTGTAGCTGAATACAGCGTCACAGTTCTGGGTACGTTTCTTTAATTTGAAAATGTTGATACAAAGTCGTTCCCTGTTTTAAAAAAAGTCATCACACTTGCTTTGCTTCCTGCAGATCCAGTGTCTGGAGTGAAGCTGACAGTGAAACTCTGCAGCTCAGACTCCACTAAGGTCACAGTGATCTGCAGCACTGAGGACTCTCTCATCAACAGCACGTTCACATGTGACACACAAACCTGCTCTCAAGGGAGGAGAGCGAGCAGAGATCATCACACCTGGTGCTTCTCTGGACGTCTACCTGGAGAAAGGCTCAGTCATCTGTTACCATAGCAACCAGGTCAGCTCTACAAGGGACATCCAAAAGATTGAAGACTTTTGTAGAAAGCCTGAAGGTAAGAATTAAAAACTACAACTTAACACTTATAAACAGTGTGGATTGTAGCCTAAATAAAAAACAACAGATGCTTTTTTTGCTGTTGATGAAACAATGATATAAATATTCTCCATTGTGTTTCAGCTGTTGGTAGGAGATCATTTTGTTCATAAATTCTGAAGAAATAATTTCAGCAGAAACATTGTCATGATTTAAGACTAATCAGTGATAGTTTGTTAATCAATTAGCTTTAAAAAAATAAGTCAAAATAGTATTTTTTTATAACATTTAAACAACACACACAAAATATAAACGTACACATGACAGACCATTAAAAAAACCACAAGAAGAAAACAAAGACCAAACCAGTCATCATGTTCATCATTCTTCTAAACATGGCCTTAGTGCGATCCATCTCATTTCAGTCATTCATTGTTCCCTCTCTGTTTGTGATTACGCCCTCTAACCTATAAAATGAAATGAAGCAGAGATTATTTGACATATAAATGGACTAGCATTAATTGTTTAAAAGCTAAAAACTGTCAATGAATTAATTTTTATGAGATTCAGATGTGTTATTAATCCCTGATGGTCAATTCAGTCACACAGCCTTTAGAGTCTTATTAAAAGAAGTCAAGACAAAGTAAAGAGTTACATTTACATGCCAGTAACAACAGGTCACCAAAGGAGATAACAATCTATTTAAAGAAACACAATGTCAGAAATGTCTAAGGTGATCCTTAAAACCAGGAGGTGACTATCCTTCCATGTAGTTTTAAATTGTGACTTTAGGGCAGCATCCATTCAGGGTTGATTAGACCAATTTCATATTTTACTACAGATCAGGTCTGTGAGATTGAGTGGTTATAGTTCACTCTCAGGTATGCTGCAAGAGTTCAGCCAAGTATGAATTTCTAATCTGGCTTTTTTTTTTCTTTACAGCATTGAAAGGCAGCCAATATAAACTTATACTGATTGTTGTAACCATCGTCTTATCTCTTGGTGTTTTGGCTGTAATTGTAATTGGAGGATTATATTGTCATCGAAGGAGAAAACCAAGTAAGTTAAGTTTGCATTTAAACTGAATTTAAATGTGAAATCAGAAAATCTTTATTGTTTACATCAAACTGAATTGACCCTTTAGATGAGTACATTCTTCTCCCCTGTGTTGATGTTTTTATTATCATTCAAAAGACGTCCCTTATGAGTGAATCCTCTTATCAGGGCGATCTGATAAAGACAGCGCAGCAGTTACACTTAGAAGCCACACCTTAGAGTTAGAATAAATAAACAATTTACAATGTTAACAAAATAAATCACATGTAAAGAACTTTTAAAGGATGGCAATTCAAAACTGTTTATCATTTACAAAATATTAAAATGAGGCCCCATTATAAAATGTTTATGCATTTTGATTGCATTCATTACTATTAATAAATTAACAGAATACATTTTTCAATGTAGAAAAGTGACTCTCAAAATCACACCAAATAAATCCAGAAAAGAATCAGCTCCAGTAATGTTAATGTAGTTTCAACATGTTTTCTTTATGACTGATCTGTGATCATGTGGATGAAAGACACCAAATCCCAGAATGCACAGCACCACAGGCCACTCCCACTAAGGTCTCTAGTTCAGAATCAGAAATAATTTATTAATCCCAGAGGGAAATTCTATCAATACAGTTTCTCCAACATATAAATATAGCAGTAGAAATAAAGTAATAAAAACATTTACAGACATATTTACTTCAACACATAAGACCATTTCCTCAACTGATTCAGAGATTTCTTCCAGAATTGATCTTGGAAATTCCTGACAGAAAACAGACTCTATGTCTGTGTCCATAGGCAAACAGTGAGAGCACCGACACTACCAGTCCACCCCAGCTCGAGCCGCCGACGGCAGGCCTTATGTCTCGGCTGCTGAGCTGGCAGCGGCCAGCGGTCTTGTGTCGCGGCGGCCCCAGCGCCTAGCGGTTAGCAGCCGTCTCGCCGCTATATTTGTATTTTCTCGCCATTATCAGCTTTCTCCATAGAGCCTGTTAGCATAGCTTCCAATCAATATGACGGACGTTAAGTTTCGATTCTGGGAGTGAGTTCCCACCCACTGATCTGTGATTGGTCTGTAGCTTCAGTGGTTGAAAATATGAGGAACTAGCGTTGTAGTTTCACACCGCTAGCAGCTTCCAGTGACACAAAAATCGTCATTTTGCGTCACTGGAAACTTCTTTTCAGACTCAGAAATACAAAGATTTCCCATCTCAGGGGAAAATGAGGGCGGGATGCACGACCATTCAAAAACACTACCAGGTTTCTAATGATACAAAGATTAATGCAAATGGGTGAAGTATCCCTTTAATGACCTGACTGTAACTGAGTCTTTGTGGGATGTTTTCTCAGTCACAAATCGGACAAATAATGTAGCAGTAGCTTTCTATTTGATAAATTGTACTAACATGCTTTTCAAGAAGTCTGGACTGAAGCAACAGTTTTTATCTTCTCACTTAATATGAAGGATTATATGTCTGTTAAGGAGTTCATGGGCTGTTATTTATTTCAGTGCTAATACATTATAATAGCCGAATTTGAAAATCGCATATCAAATAGCAAAATAACCATTCTTATGTTGTGTGTTAAAGTGAATACAGACCTCCCTCTGCAGCAGAGACCAACAAATGATGCCCCAGCTGGTCCTCCACCCTCCATCTACTCCTTGTTGGGGCCTCCCATCGTCTCTGAAGCACCCACTCAGCCCAGAGACAACGCTCAGCCAGAGAGCTGACACATACAATAGAACTGTTTTGATGTAGATATTTTATTTTTTTAAATTAATTTACTGTATATATTTCAAATGCTACGTTCTATTTTTTTACATAGTTTTATTGCTAATTTGTGTTTTTGCTAATATTTGATCATCTTGATGCTTCTTATCAAATGTTTCTTTAAACCTTAATGTGAATAAAGCCTTTTTAATTTAAAGCTACAGTGAGGATCTTCTGGTTTGTGTCAACCTTATAGCACCTAGTAGATAAAAGAAAAGAAAATAAATCTCATCCAGCTTTTATTTTAAAGCAAATGTATCACTCAACATGAACATTTACATGCAGAATGTAAAAAAGGTAAGTTTGGCCTGACACCTCCTCCATAGTGACTTGTCCATGATGATCTCCTCAGCTTGTGTAGCTCATAAAGAGGCTTCAGTATTATTCTCAGTCTGTTACATAACCAGTTAATAACTCCTCACAGGAGCTTTAACAGACATTCAAAGAATGAGTGAATAAGTTTACTGCTTCACACTGAACTTCATGTCAGCAAAAGAAACAATAAAACAAGTGAATTAACACCAAACACATCAAACTCTCTCACCTATTAGCCATTATCCATCCAATATATCGATGAGTACAATATATTTACAATGCTTTTGTTATTACTGAAGGTCCAGAAAGGAGGCTTCACATCATATTATAGAGTGAGAGTTTATTACTGAGGGTCCAATATGATGCTTGGACAAATACTGTGAAATATCATTGATTAATATTTTATAATTATCATTAATAATATTATAAATAGGACAAATGACATTACAAATACTGCATTTTATGTTTTTCTCCAGACAACATCCTCTAAAATGATAGCATTGTGATGGATGAACTGTGTGTATAGTAAAGAAACAATGCAATTGCTTTATATTTACATACATTTTATTGATTAAAAAGGTATTTTAATATGTCTATGAAGCTTACAAAAGTGCTGAGTCACTTCTATCCTAATAAACTTTAAGTCAAAGCAGAATTGTACAGGTATTTTACTCTCTTCATTATTTGCATCCATGTTTGCTGATATTCTTCCTCTGCCTCCTCAAACTACATTTCTGTGTTTTACTGCCACCAACAGTCCATCAGTGGAATAGCATGAAGTCTGTGAAATAAGTGTGTATATACCACCGTGCCCCCTGCAGACTCACATACACACAGCTTAAACACAACAAGGTCACACATGTTCAGTCAAAAAAAGAAAAGAAAACAAGAAGCTCCATTGTGCTACTAGTGGTCAAACTCTCCACAGAGGATTGTTGGGGGAGAGGTGGTTGTTTATTTTTTCTTCTTAAGCTTCTCTGTGAACACTGATGACGGCACACATCATGATGACCAGACCGATCGAGACCACGTATATCTTCAGCCTGTAGATAGAGAAACCAACCCCAGATATCTCTGGACCAAAAAAAAAAAACATTGTTTCATTAGAAAGGTGACGCAAACCGATCTTCAACAAGAATGTGATTCAACAACAGGACAGGGTGCACAAGTCAGTTGTTCCTCTTTTTGCATACTGAAAGCATTTAGCTTTACATTCAAGAAAGAACTCGTCAGTTTGTGATGATCAATGTTGGTCTGGTTTTAAAGGGATATTATGAAAAATCCACTTCTTCAGTGTTTTTGAACATTTATTTGGGTAACCTGAGTGTCTACTGACCCACAAAATGTAAAATAAACACATCCAGTCCTTTGTTTGTGGTCTGCATAAGTCTTACAACACAGAGAGAAATGCTCTGTTTCACATTTGCTCTCCTTGTGACATCACAGTGGGATTCTGGTAAAAACCACCAAAACGGAGCGTTCTGAGAGAGCTGGTTTATACAGGGTCACAAACCTCCTCTGGTGCTTGATTCATGTTATATTTTGATCAAAGCACAGCACAGATGTTTCATTTAGACCACTGAGGGACTGTTTGAAAAGAGGGAAAAGGGGGATAACATGTCCTCTTTAATGGCCATTTTAGTGTCAAATCAAATAATCACATTCAAGTGTCAGCCTGAGCTCAGTATTTAATGATTCATTATCATTTATTATAAGTAGGGCAAAGGGGAAGTTCTATAACAACTTTAAACTGCATTGATGAAAAGAAAAAAGGAAGTTCTTCATGTTTGCCTCTTACTATGACGACCAAACTAAACCAGATCAACAATGAACATAGGATTTTACCAGCCACAGTTTAACAGAACATGAGTCGACAATAAGAGAGGAGGAGATTTGTTAGAAACTTCAGGACAGGATTAGATGCATCGCTTCATCTACGGAGGACGCAGAAAGAGTTCTCTCCAATGTTTTGGATTTGGACTGCAGTACCCGTTTTAAACACTAGGTGTCAGAGTTACACCATTAAAGTCATAGTGCAGAATAAATGTCAGTGATCTTTTCAACTTTAAAAAGAAAATGTATGGTCTTGCCTATTTAACAGTCATAGTTAAGCCATAGTTAATTGATATAGCAAATCAATATTTTTTTTCTGGAACATTCAATGATTTCTGTTTATTAAAAAATATCATGGACTGAGATAACTCTGCATTACAAATTGGGCCATGAAAATGTCAACATTGGATGGTCTTTAATCGTGACCTTATTTCTGTCTCCTAGGCAATTCTTTCTTGCAATATTAATAATATATTTTATTATTATTTTATAAAAAAATCTGGAGAAAAAATCATATTGTTTCATCAAAAAAATGTGATCTGTTGTTTTTTATTTAGGCTACAATCCACACTGGTTATTAGCATCAAATTGTAGTTTTGAACTCTTACCTTCAGGCTTTCTACAAATATCTTCAATCTTTTGGATGTCCCTGGTAGAGCTGACCTGGTTGCTATAGTTACAGATAACTGAACCGTTCTCCAGGTAGACGTCCAGAGAAGCACTAGGTGTGATGATCTCTGCTCGCTCTCCTCCCTCGTGAGAGCAGGTTTGTGTGTCACATGTGAACGTGCTGCTGATGAGAGAGTCCTCAGTGCTGCAGATCACTGTGACCTTAGTGGAGTCTGAGCTGCAGAGTTTCACTGTCAGCTTCACTCCAGACACTGGATCTGCAGAAGCAAAGCAAGTGTGATGACTTTTTTTAAAACAGGGAACGACTGTATCAACATTTTCAATTAAAGAAACGTACCCAGAACTGTGACGCTGTATTCAGCTACATCTGTGTTCGTCTCAGCAGCAACACGTGCTCTGTAAACTCCACTGTCCCCCTTTTGTACGTTCTTTAACAGTAGAGAGTGAGTTTGTGCAGAAAATTCTACTCTAGATTTATAATTTGGAAAAATGGTTGGTTTACCACCATGAGCTAGTCTCACAACATTAACACTGCCAACAGTCCATTTAAATGACTCTGCCTCCTTCAGAACAACAGGTTCCTTCACATCCAGAAGTAAATCTGTTCCTGTCTGCACAAACACAGGAGTCACTGCAGAGAGAAGAGAAATAAAAATCATGTGTATGGTTAAAAGAACACTTGAATCAATATTTCCATGTTAACAATGTATCACTTGTTTACTTGTATTTTAAAGTTCTTGACAAACACAGAAAATGATCACCTGACTGAAGATTAAAAACACAAACCTAAAACAGGAATGAATCTTGGACTTACATTCACATTAATACATTTATATATCATATATTTTATTATTAATTATATATAATTAATGACCAGGTCATCACTAATTGCATTGATTGATTGAAGTCTCTATTTCGAACATGTACTTTCTTTTTTATTGTCAAAAAAACAAAACAAATAAACCTATAAAAGAATCGTGCGTAAGAAAACAAAAAAATCTAGTTACATGTTTGAAAAGGAGCGAGAAGAATACTTATTATTGTTGCTTTGTTAGGGACTGTCTCTTTGCATTTATCCCTCTAACACTTTATATTTTAATTGATCTAATTCTCTGTTGTGTTTTTTTCACTGTTCTCTTGCTCTAATTTTGGAGCCATCTACTATATATCCCTATAAATAAAGTTTCTTATCTTATCTCGTCTCGTCTCACACCTGTGTAAGAACTCAAAGCTGTGAAAACAAATACATTATTGTCTCGTCTCGTCTTATGGATATCTTATCTTGTGCTCAGTGATAAAATTAGGCTTTTTTTTCCTCTTATTTCAGAGAACCAGGTTCTTTTAAAAACATTGAAGCTTCATCAGCGTGCTTTCAGAGTGAAACTGTTTTAAGTCTCAAACTTTTATAAATATATACAAAGACACTGAAACATTTACTGTAATAAAGGTTTTCCACTTTGTCATTCCTTCATGCAAATTCTTTAAAATCTGTCCCTCTTTCTTAATATGTCATCACTTAGATTACATTTATTACAGATACAAACACACAAACTGATAAAATCATGTATCGCAAGTGAAGCTCATATTTATTTGTAATCATGAATTCAAACCTGAGGTCACTTCATGTTGATCTGTAAATTAGACGGAGCAGAGAAGTCTTTTTCAAGTGGCCGGGAAAACAGTTAGCTTACATCTTTTTATAATATACTACATTGTTTGCATCACTCTTGCAGTATTATGTTTACCGAACATAAAAACTTCAAAAATAAATCTGAGTTGTCTTAAATTAAATAAAATAGTGAAATTCTTTCCTTTTGAAAAGACTCATTCCTGTTCTCTAATAAAAAGTGAGATTATACCCTCAACTAGTGAAATGTTAAATATTGTTAAAAAAATTGAGTACTGAATAATTGAATTGTTTATTTTGTTGCAATTGAACAGTTTTCCCCCTAATCTGTCTGTAGTTACAGGAGATGATCACATGATTTAACTTTTAGTTTTGTTATTTGTCCTTTTCCCCACAAATTAAAAGTAATAATTATTCTCATTATTATAATAATAAGATGATGTTCTTCTCCTACCTTGTGCCTGGATGCCAGCCAGCAGACCCAGAATCATAAAGATGAACATGATAGAGCCTCTGTTGTTCTGGATGCTACAACGTGTGTGTTCTGTTTCACTGTTACAAACACACCACAGGGTTAGAGTGAGTCAACCTCAGTGATGTCAACACTTTTTTTTTTTATCTTCTCTCTGAGCTCCATTTCATTTCTCTTGATGTGTAGAGTTTGTTACTGTAGGTCCTGAGGTCAAAATGGATGAAAGATTATAAACAAGTGGACTTTAGTATGGTTGATCAAATCCTGTTGGACTCTTTCAGAGATTTTAATGAAATCAGTGTTATGAGCACATGTCTCCAACAATGTAGATTATTTTTGATAAATGTTGATGTCTACGCCGAGAGGAAGGTGAACCTCTCACTCGAGAGTCAGTGTTTATGTAGAAAAATATAAATGATTTAGTTCTTTAATGTACTTTGTTAATATGACTCTGAAAAGACTAAATCTAAATCATGAATTGTCTTCTTTTTTCCTTTGTTCAATCATACTCGATTCACTCCAAGGAAGGTGAGATAGATAACAACCTCAGTCAATCTGTCACTGAGCTCCTCTCTGATTGGCCCAAGAGACAGGTCACAGGATATTAAATGTGTGTGAGAGCAGCAGACTGGTTGATGTGTTTCACTTTTGAGAACGCTGTGAGGAGAGTCAGTTTTTCTGTTTGCCTAACTTCTCCTTTTTCTTGTCTGCAGAGGACATTATTTTTTGTTTGCATGTGGCCAGCATGAATACATTTCTGTTACAACTGAGAAATCTGCAACCGGTGTTCGATCCTTTCGTTCGCTCTCTCACACTGTCTGCCATATAGAAGTACAACAATCAACACTGTAACTTGTTTTCTTTGCTCCCTTCAGAGGTCATTGTTTCATCTTGTGTTTTTGAGACATTTGAAAGGAAAAAAGGATCCAACTTGAGGATTCAAATCAAGAGAAAAAACCTTCAACTCATGACATTGAAGGGTGGAAAGTGTAGTTATGTCCGTGTATTAGTTCAGAATTTACGTCTTGTTGCTTCTCTATCAATGTGGTTAAAACCACTCCTTTGTTCTCTCACGTTGGTCTGGATTTAACATGTTGTGCATTTCCTGTGTGCAACATAAAGAAGACTGAACTTTTAGAGTTCCATCTGAAAACAAACACATTTAATGAAAACGGAACAAGCAGATGCATGAGTAACTCATTTATTTGACCTGATCATACTTTTTAATAACACTTAATTTATCTGGCACTTTTCAAAACAAGGTTACAAAGTGCTTTACACAATGAAAATAAAATCAAATAGAAGAGAAATGTGAGGAAGAGAATGATTAAAAAAATCAATAATAAAAAATAGTGGGAGATTAACCAACACGAGTTCCACAAATGGTAATAATGAAAAGGAGTTTTGTTGTTGAGCTAAATTGTTTTGCCTCTTTATCTGGATTGAAACCAAACTATGAAAAATGTTGTATTCTTAAACTTGAATCATTGAAGGAAAAAAGTGTTCAGACACCGTGCCAGGCTCCTGTTAAATGATCAAATGTCTTTTAGGAATACATATTCCAGCTGATAAAACTCTGTTAGTAAAGTGAGTGGGTTAGGGTCAATAACATGAGGCGGTCTAATGACGTCACTTCAGCGGTCCCTGATGGAGAAGACCTGGTCACCTTCGGTCCTCAGCCTCGATTGTGGAATGGCGAGCAGTGCTTTGGCTGATTGATGACCTCAGGTTACGACCGGGCATGTAAGTAGATCAGATATTTACTTTGGTGCTAGTCCAGAGCGTGCTTTATAAGTGAACAAAAAACCCTTAAAATCAATTCTAAAATGTACTGGGAGCTAATGAAGGGAGGCTAAAACAGGAGTGATGTGGTCTCTCTTTTTAGTTTTGGTGAGGAGTCGGGCTGCTGCGTTCTGGACCAGCTGTAACTTGTGTAGACTCTGTTGATATAGACATGTGTACTGAGAGTTACAGTAATCTAAACGAGAGGAAATAAAAGCATGTATTACTGTCTCTAAGTTGTTCTACATGAAACTGAACCAGCGTTGTAGAGTCACTTCTATCCTAATAAACTTTAGAAGTCAAAGCAGAATTGTACAGGTATTTTTACTCTCTTCATTATTTGCATCCATGTTTGCTGATATTCTTCCTCTGCCTCCTCAAACTACATTTCTCTGTGTTTTACCGCCACCAACAGTCCATCAGTGGAATAGCATGAAGTCTGTGAAATAAGTGTGTATATACCACCGTGCCCCTGCAGACTCACATACACACAGCTTAAACACAACAAGGTCACACATGTTCAGTCAAAAAAAGAAAAGAAAACAAGTCGCTCCATTGTGCTACTAGTGGTCAAACTCTCCACAGAGGATTGTTGGGGAGAGGTGGTTGTTATTTTTTCTTCTTAAGCTTCTCTACGACGTGAACACTGATGACGGCACACATCATGATGACCAGACCGATCGAGACCACGTATATCTTCAGCCTGTAGATAGAGAAACCAACCCCAGATATCTCTGGACCAAAAAAAAAACATTGTTTCATCAGAAAAGTGACGCAAACTGATCTTCAACAAGAATGTGATTCAACAACAGGACAGGGTGCAGCAAGTCAGTTGTTCCACTTTTTGCATACTGACAGCATTTAGCTTTACATTCAAGAAAGAACTCGACAGTTTGTGATGATCAATGTTGGTCTGGTTTTAAAGGGACATATTATGAACAATCCACTTTCAGTGTTTTTGAACATTTATTTGGGTAACCTGAGTGTCTACCGACCCACAAAATGTAAAATAAACCCATCCAGTCCTTTGTTTGTGGTCTGCATAAGTCTTACAACACAGAGAGAAATGCTCTGTTTCACATTTGCTCTCCTTGTGACATCACAGTGGGATTCTGGTAAAAACCACCAAAACGGAGCGTTCTGAGAGAGCTGGTTTATACAGGGTCACAAACCTCCTCTGGTGCTTGATTCATGTTATATTTTAATCAAAGCACAGCACAGATGTTTCATTTAGACCACTGAGGGACTGTTTGAAAAGAGGGAAAAGGGGGATAACATGTCCTCTTTAATGGCCATTTTAGTGTCAAATCAAATAATCACATTCAAGTGTCAGCCTGAGCTCAGTATTTAATGATGATGATGGTGAAAAGAAAAAAGGAAGTTCTTCATGTTTGCCTCTCTCTATGACGACCAAACTAAACCAGATCAACAATGAACATAGGATTTTACCAGCCACAGTTTAACAGAACATGAGTCGACAATAAGAGAGGAGGAGATTTGTTAGAAACTTCAGGACAGGATTAGATGCATCGCTTCATCTACGGAGGACGCAGAAAGAGTTCTCTCCAATGTTTTGGATTTGGACTGCAGTACCCGTTTTAAACACTAGGTGTCAGAGTTACACCATTAAAGTCATAGTGCAGAATAAATGTCAGTGATCTTTTCAACTTTAAAAAGAAAATGTATGATCTTGCCTATTTAACAGTCATAGTTAAGCCATAGTTAATTGATATAGCAAATCAATATTTTTTTTCTGGAACATTCAATGATTTCTGTTTATTAAAAAATATCATGGACTGAGATAACTCTGCATTACAAATTGGGCCATGAAAATGTCAACATTGGTTGGTCTTTAATCGTGACCTTATTTCTGTCTCCTAGGCAATTCTTTCTTGCAATATTAATAATATATTTTATTATTATTTTATAAAAAATCTAGAGAAAAAATCATATTGTTTCATCAAAAAAAATGTATCTGTTGTTTTTTTATTTAGGCTACAATCCACACTGGTTATTAGCATCAAATTGTAGTTTTGAACTCTTACCTTCAGGCTTTCTACAAAGATCTTCAATCTTTTGGATGTCCCTGGTAGAGCTGACCTGGTTGCTATGGTTACAGATGACTGAGCCGTTCTCCAGGTAGACGTCCAGAGAAGCACCAGGTGTGATGATCTCTGCTCGCTCTCCTCCCTCGTGAGAGCAGGTTTGTGTGTCACATGTGAACGTGTTGTTGATGAGAGAGTCCTCAGTGCTGCAGATCACTGTGACCTTAGTGGAGTCTGAGCTGCAGAGTTTCACTGTCAGCTTCACTCCAGACACTGGATCTGCAGGAAGCAAAGCAAGTGTGATGACTTTTTTTAAAACAGGGAACGACTTTGTATCAACATTTTCAAATTAAAGAAACGTACCCAGAACTGTGACGCTGTATTCAGCTACAGTGATTTCTTTGTCAGCAGAAACACGTGCTCTGTGAACTCCACTGTCCCTCTTTTGTACGTTCTTTAACAGTAGAGAGTGATTTTGTGCAGACAATTCTGCTCTAGATATATAATTTGTGGAAATGGTTGGTTTACCACCATGAACTAGTCTCACAGCATTATCACTGCCATTGACCTTCCATGTAAATAAATCTAGCTCCTTCAGAACAACAGGTTTCTTCACTTCCAGAAGTAAATCTGTTCCTGTCTGCACAAACACAGGAGTCACTGCAGAGAGAAGAGAAATAAAAATCATGTGTATGGTTAAAAAAAACTTCAATTAATATTCCCATGTTAACAATGTATTCACTTGTTTACTTGTATTTTAAAGTTCTTGACAAACACAGAAAATGATCACCTGACTGAAGGTTAAAAACACAAACCTAAAACAGGAATGAATGTTGTACTTACATTCACATTAATACATTTATATATCATATATTTTATTATTAATTATATATAATTAATGACCAGGTCATCACTAATTGCATTGATTGATTAAAGTCTCTATTTTCGAACATGACTTTCTTTTTTATTGTCAAAAAAAAACAAAACAAACCTATAAAAGAATCGTGTGTAAGAAAACAAAAAAATCTAGTTACATGTTTGAAAAGGAGCGGGAAGAATACTTATTATTGTTGCTTTGTTAGGGACTGTCTCTTTGCATTTATCCCTCTAACACTTTATATTTTAATTGATCTAATTCTCTGTTGTGTTTTTTACACTGTTCTCTTGCTCTAATTTTGGAGCCATCTACTATATATCCCTATAAATAAAGTTTCTTATCTTATCTCGTCTCGTCTCACACCTGTGTAAGAACTCAAAGCTGTGAAAACAAATACATTATTGTCTCGTCTCGTCTTATGGATATCTTATCTTGTGCTCAGTGATAAAATTAGGCATTTTTTCCTCTTATTTCAGAGAACCAGGTTCTTTTTAAAACACTGAAGCTTCATCAGCGTGCTTTCAGAGTGAAACTGTTTTAAGTCTCAAACTTTTATAAATATATACAAAGACACTGAAACATTTACTGTAATAAAGGTTTTCCACTTTGTCATTCCTTCATGCAAATTCTTTAAAATCTGTCCCTCTTTCTTAATATGTCATCACTTAGATTACATTTATTACAGATACAAACACACAAACTGATAAAATCATGTATCGCAAGTGAAGCTCATATTTATTTGTAATCATGAATTCAAACCTGAGGTCACTTCATGTTGATCTGTAAATTAGACGGAGCAGAGAAGTCTTTTTCAAGTGGCCGGGAAAACAGTTAGCTTACATCTTTTTATAATATACTACATTGTTTGCATCACTCTTGCAGTATTATGTTTACCGAACATAAAAACTTCAAAAATAAATCTAAGTTGTCTTAAATTAAAATAAAATAGTGAAACTGTTTCTTTTTGAAAAGACTCATTCCTGTTCTCTAATAAAAAGTGAGATTATACCCTCAACTAGTGAAATGTTAAATATTGAATATTGAGTACTGAATAATTGACAGGGTCTGTTTATTTTGTTGCAACATAACCCCTGTGCTCCGTTCTCTCCACTGGCTTCCTGTTCGCTACAGGATTTTATTTTACTTCTGGCTTTTAAATCATTAAATGGCTCAACACCTCATAACCTAAGTGAACTACTACATGTTCATGCTCCATCCAGAGCACTAAGGTCCTCCAACCAGCTGCTCCTGGACGTGCCCAAAACAAGGCTCAAAACTACGGGCGACCAAGCCTTTTCTGTTGCAGCTCCGACACTTTGGAACAGATTACCATTTAAAATAAGATCTGCTGCCACAACTGAACAGTTTAAGTCATTTTTTAAAACCCATTTCTTTTCCTTGGCTTTTTCTCTAGTTGAGTGTTTTATCCCAGCAGCAGTGTCTACTAGAACTTTTACTATTGTCTTGTGTTTTAATTACTTTTAATTTTTGCTTTTACGTGTCTTTATGATGTTTTGGATGTAATGTGTTTTGCCTAATTTACTGTAGAGCACTTTGGTCGCCTCGGCTGTTATAAATGTGCTATATAATAAAGTTGACTTGACTTGAGTTGAACTGTTTTCCCCCTAATCTGTCTGTAGTTACAGGAGATGATCACATGATTTAACTTTTAGTTTTGTTATTTGTCCTTTTCCCCACAAATTAAAAGTAATAATTATTCTCATTATTATAATAATAAGATGATGTTCTTCTCCTACCTTGTGCCTGGATGCCAGCCAGCAGACCCAGAATCATAAAGATGAACATGATAGAGCCTCTGTTGTTCTGGATGCCACAACGTGTGTGTTCTGTTTCACTGTTACAAACACACCACAGGGTTAGAGTGAGTCAACCTCAGGATGTCAGCCTTTTTTTTTTTTATCTTCTCTCTGAGCTCCATTTCATTTCTCTTGATGTGTAGAGTTTGTTACTGTAGGTCCTGAGGTCAAAATGGATGAAAGATTATAAACAAGTGGACTTTAGTATGGTTGATCAAATCCTGTTGGACTCTTTCAGAGATTTTAATGAAAATCAGTGTTATGGAGCACATTGTCTCCAACAATGTAGATTATTTTTGATATATGTTGATGTCTACGCTGAACGGAAGGTGAACCTCTCACTCGAGAGTCAGTGTTTATGTAGAAAAATATAAATGATTTAGTTCTCTTAATGTACTTTGTTAATATGACTCTGAAAAGACTAAATCTAATTCATGAATTGAACTTGATCTTTTCCTTTGTTCAATCTTGCTCGATTCATTCCAGGGGAGGTGAGATTGATCACATCTTCAGTCAATCCAGCACTGATTACAGAGCTCCTCTCTGATTGGCCCAAGAGGACAGGTAACAGAATATTAAATGTGTGTGAGATCAGCAGACTGGTTGATGTTTGTCACGTTTGAGAAAGCTGTCTGCTGTCTCACACTGTCTGCCATATAGAAGTACAACAATCAGCACTGTAACTTGTTTTTCTTTGCTCCCTTCAGAGGTCATTGTTTCATCTTGTGTTTTTGAGACATTTCAAAGGAAAAAAGGATCCAACTTGAGGATTCAAATCAAGAGAAAAAACCTTCAACTCACAACATTGAAGGGTGGAAAGTGTAGTTATGTCCGTGTATTAGTTCAGAATTTACGTCATGTTGCTTCTCTCTCTACCAATGTGGTTAAAACCACTCCTTTGTTCTCTCACGTTGGTCTGGATTTAACATGTTGTGCATTTCCTGTGTGCAACATAAAGAAGACTGAACTTTTAGAGTTCCATCTGAAAACAAACACATTTAATGAAAACGAACAAGCAGATGCATGAGTAACTCATTTATTTGACCTGATCATACTTTTTAATAACACTTAATTTATCTGGCACTTTTCAAAACAAGGTTACAAAGTGCTTTACACAATGAAAATAAAATCAAATAGAAGAGAAATGTGAGGAAGCGAATGATTAAAAAAATCAATAATAAAAAATAGTGGGAGATTAACCAACACGAGTTCCACAAATGGTAATAATGAAAAGGAGTTTTGTTGTTGAGCTAAATTGTTTTGCCTCTTTATCTGGATTGAAACCAAACTATGAAAAATGTTGTATTCTTAAACTTGAATCATTGAAGGAAAAAAGTGTTCAGACACCGTGCCAGGCTCCTGTTAAATGATCAAATGTCTTTTAGGAATACATATTCCAGCTGATAAAACTCTGTTAGTAAAGTGAGTGGGTTAGGGTCAATAACATGAGGCGGGCTAATGACGCACTTCAGCGGTCCCTGATGGAGAAGACCTGGTCACCTTGGTCCTCAGCCTCGATTGTGGAATGGTGAGCAGTGCTTTGGCTGATTGATGACCTCAGGTTACGACCGGGCATGTAAGTAGATCAGATATTTACTTTGGTGCTAGTCCAGAGCGTGCTTTATAAGTGAACAAAAAACCCTTAAAATCAATTCTAAAATGTACTGGGAGCTAATGAAGGGAGGCTAAAACAGGAGTGATGTGGTCTCTCTTTTTAGTTTTGGTGAGGAGTCGGGCTGCTGCGTTCTGGACCAGCTGTAACTTGTGTAGACTCTGTTGATATAGACATGTGTACTGAGAGTTACAGTAATCTAAACGAGAGGAAATAAAAGCATGTATTACTGTCTCTAAGTTGTTCTACATGAAACTGAACCAGCGTTGTAGAGTCACTTCTATCCTAATAAACTTTAGAAGTCAAAGCAGAATTGTACAGGTATTTTTACTCTCTTCATTATTTGCATCCATGTTTGCTGATATTCTTCCTCTGCCTCCTCAAACTACATTTCTCTGTGTTTTACCGCCACCAACAGTCCATCAGTGGAATAGCATGAAGTCTGTGAAATAAGTGTGTATATACCACCGTGCCCCCTGCAGACTCACATACACACAGCTTAAACACAACAAGGTCACACATGTTCAGTCAAAAAAGAAAAGAAAACAAGTCGCTCCATTGTGCTACTAGTGGTCAAACTCTCCACAGAGGATTGTTGGGGGAGAGGTGCTTGTTTATTTTTTCTTCTTAAGCTTCTCTACGACGTGAACACTGATGACGGCACACATCATGATGACCAGACCGATCGAGACCACGTATATCTTCAGCCTGTAGATAGAGAAACCAACCCCAGATATCTCTGGACCAAAAAAAAAACATTGTTTCATTAGAAAGGTGACGCAAACCGATCTTCAACAAGAATGTGATTCAACAACAAGACAGGGTGCAGCAGGTCAGTTGTTCCACTTTTTGCATACTGACAGCATTTAGCTTTACATTCAAGAAAGAACTCGACAGTTTGTGATGATCAATGTTGGTCTGGTTTTAAAGGGATACAAAAATCCACTTGTACAGTGTTTTTGATCATATATTTGGGTAACCTGAGTGTCTACCGACCCACAAAATGTCAAATAAACCCATCCAGTCCTTTGTTTGTGGTCTGCATAAGTCTTACAACACAGAGAGAAATGCTCTGTTTCACATTTGCTCTCCTTGTGACATCACAGTGGGATTCTGGTAAAAACCACCAAAACGGAGCGTTCTGAGAGAGCTGGTTTATACAGGGTCACAAACCTCCTCTGGTGCTTGATTCATGTTATATTTTGATCAAAGCACAGCACAGATGTTTCATTTAGACCACTGAGGGACTGTTTGAAAAGAGGGAAAAGGGGGATAACATGTCCTCTTTAATGGCCATTTTAGTGTCAAATCAAATAATCACATTCAAGTGTCAGCCTGAGCTCAGTATTTAATGATGATGATGGTGAAAAGAAAAAAGGAAGTTCTTCCTGTTTGCCTCTCTCTATGATGACCAAACTAAACCAGATCAACAATGACCATAGGATTTTACCAGCCACAGTTTAACAGAACATGAGTCGACAATAAGAGAGGAGGAGATTTGTTAGAAACTTCAGGACAGGATTAGATGCATCGCTTCATCTACAGAGGACGCAGAAAGAGTTCTCTCCAATGTTTTGGATTTGGACTGCAGTACCCGTTTTAAACACTAGGTGTCAGAGTTACACCATTAAAGTCATAGTGCAGAATAAATGTCAGTGATCTTTTCAACTTTAAAAAGAAAATGTATGATCTTGCCTATTTAACAGTCATAGTTAAGCCATAGTTAATTGATATAGCAAATCAATATTTTTTTTCTGGAACATTCAATGATTTCTGTTTATTAAAAAATATCATGGACTGAGATAACTCTGCATGACAAATTGGGCCATGAAAATGTCAACATTGGTTGGTCATTAATCGTGACCTTATTTCTGTCTCCTAGGCAATTCTTTCTTGCAATATTAATAATATATTTTATTATTATTTTATAAAAAATCTAGAGAAAAAATCATATTGTTTCATCAAAAAAAATTGATCTGTTGTTTTTTTATTTAGGCTACAATCCACACTGGTTATTAGCATCAAATTGTAGTTATTAACTCTTACCGTCAGGCTTTCTACAAAGATCTTCAATCTTTTGGATGTCCCTGGTAGAGCTGACCTGGTTGCTATGGTTACAGATGACTGAGCCGTTCTCCAGGTAGACGTCCAGAGAAGCACCAGGTGTGATGATCTCTGCTCGCTCTCCTCCCTCGTGAGAGCAGGTTTGTGTGTCACATGTGAACGTGCTGCTGATGAGAGAGTCCTCAGTGCTGCAGATCACTGTGACCTTAGTGGAGTCTGAGCTGCAGAGTTTCACTGTCAGCTTCACTCCAGACACTGGATCTGCAAGAAGCAAAGCAAGTGTGATGACTTTTTTTAAAACAGGGAACGACTTTGTATCAACATTTTCAAATTAAAGAAACGTACCCAGAACTGTGACGCTGTATTCAGCTACAGTGATGTCTTTGTCAGTAGAAACACTTGCTCTGTAAACTCCACTGTCCCTCTTTTGTACGTTCTTTAACAGTAGAGAGTGAGTTTGTGCAGACAATTCTGCTCTAGATTTATAATTTGGGGAAATGGTTGGTTTACCACCATGAGCTAGTCTCACAACATTAGCTCTGCCAAAAGTCCACATGAATAAATCTGCCTCCTCCAGAACATCAGGTTTCTTCACATCCAGAAGTAAATCTGTTCCTGTCTGCACAAACACAGGAGTCACTGCAGAGAGAAGAGAAATAAAAATCATGTGTTTGGTTAAAAAAACACTTGAATCAATATTTCCATGTTAACAATGTTTCACTTGTTTACTTGTATTTTAAAGTTCTTGACAAACACAGAAAATGATCACCTGACTGAAGGTTAAAAACACAAACCTAAAACAGGAATGAATGTTGTAGTTACATTCACATTAATACATTTATATATCATATATTTTATTATTAATTATATATAATAAATTATGCATACTTGCATTAATTGATTGAAGTCTCTATTTCGAACATGAACTTTCTTTTTTATTGTCAAAAAAACAAAACAAATAAACCTATAAAAGAATCGTGCGTAAGAAAACAAAAAAATCTAGTTACATGTTTGAAAAGGAGCGGGAAGAATAATTATTATTGTTGCTGTGTTAGGGACTGTTTCTTTGCATTTATCCCTCTAACACTTTATATTTTAATTGATCTAATTCTCTGTTGTGTTTTTTACACTGTTCTCTTGCTCTAATTTTGGAGCCATCTACTACATATCCCTATAAATAAAGTTTCTTATCTTATCTCGTCTCGTCTCACACCTGTGTAAGAACTCAAAGCTGTGAAAACAAATACATTATTGTCTCATCTCGTCTTATGGATATCTTATCTTGTGCTCAGTGATAAAATTAGACATTTTTTTCCTCTTATTTCAGAGAACCAGGTTCTTTTTAAAACACTGAAGCTTCATCAGCGTGCTTTCAGAGTGAAACTGTTTTAAGTCTCAAACTTTTATAAATATATACAAAGACACTGAAACATTTACTGTAATAAAGGTTTTCCACTTTGTCATTCCTTCATGCAAATTCTTTAAAATCTGTCCCTGAGTGAATCCTCTTATCAGGGCGATCTGATAAAGACAGCGCAGCAGTTACACTTAGAAGCCACACCTTAGAGTTAGAATAAATAAACAATTTACAATGTTAACAAAATAAATCATATGTAAAGAACTTTTAAATTCACATGAATTTATAATATTTGAGGATGGCAATTCAAAACTGTTTCTCATTTACAAACTATTAAAATGAGGCCCCATTATAAAATGTTTATGCATTTTGATTGCATTCATTACTATTAATAAATTAACAGAATACATTTTTCAATGTAGAAAAGTGACTCTCAAAATCACACCAAATAAATCCAGAACAGAATCAGCTCCAGTAATGTTAATGTAGTTTCAACATGTTTCTTTATGACTGATCTGACAGGCCAGAGACATTACTGTTTTCAAATTCCTCACTAGCTCGTTTTTTTAAACTTGTTTTCCCCTCATTTTTTGCAACTTCACAAAAGTGGCGTCTTTGCAAAAACAACAAATGCAGGTTCTGCAAGGTGCTGTGGGCTCAAAAGCCTGTGTACTATTATTGAGATCAGGCCAGTGTTGAAAATAAAGCCCATGTGGAAGTGCCCAAAACTGCAGCTCCTGAGGGCTGACAAATACCCATTTCCACCCCATATTAAAATGTCCATTTGTACTAAGTGCTGACAGGCTGGTATAAAGAAAACCATAGCTCATTTCTAGATCCATGACGACTTATTCCCAACAGTTGTAAATGTATTAAAACTTTGAAGTTATGGGGTGTTGTGGTTCTGTGTTGCAGGTTGAACCGAATAGCTTTCTGATCGACATCAAACCAGCAAATTCAGTCACAGAACTTAAAGGGATACTTCACCCGTTGAAACATGAATCTGTATTGACATTGGGTCATATATGTTGTAGAAATGTGAAATACATTTTGAAGTTGGTGCCTTCTTGGCCGAGAAAAGGCTGAAAGTGACTTTTTGGCTCATGTGGATGAAAGACACCAAATCCCAGAATGCACAGCACCGCAGGCCACTCCCACTAAGGTCCTCTAGTTCAGAATCAGATATACTTTATTAATCCCAGAGGGAAATTCGATCAATACAGTTTCTCCAAAACATACAGTATAGCAGTAGAAATAAAGTAATAAAAACATTTACAGACATATTTACTTCAACACATAAGACCATTTCCTCAACTGATTCAGAGATTTCTTCCAGAATTGATCTTGGAAATTCCTGGCAGAAAACAGACTCTATGTCTGTGTCCATAGACAAACAGTGAGAGCACCGACACTACCAGTCCACCCCAGCTCGAGCCGCCGACAGGCAGGCCTTATGTCTCAGCTGCTGAGCTGGCAGTGGCCAGCCGTCTTGTGTCGCGGCGGCCCCAGCGCCTAGCGGTTAGCAGCCGTCTCGCCGCTATATTTGTATTTTCTCGCCATTATCAGCTTTCTCCATAGAGCCTGTTAGTATAGCTTCCAATCAATATGGCGGACATTAAATTTCGGTCAAACTCTCCACAGAGGATTGTTGGGGGAGAGGTGGGTGTTGCGACACCCACACGTAATTTCATCCCCCACACTTTTTACCAGTGGAGTTATTGATGAAAACTTATTGGTCAAGTAAGATTCATGAAGTGACAATTAAGCCAATCGTAGCTGTTCGGTTACAGTTGCAGCACTGTAAAGTTACGTGCATTTATCAGTAATCCTCCTGTCACTCATCACTGTCTGAGTCAGAGCTCAGAGCTGACAAATGGATAGCCTTCATCCACAACATGTAGCATCCTTCTGAAAGAGTTAGTTAGTTTTTTATTTTATTTTTTTTAACCTGGCCCTAATCCTCCGTCGTAATATCCACATATTTTTGTTTGGAGAGTTTTTTTATTTAGAGTACAAACAATTGATTATCATTTCATTACTATAACAATTGATATGATATTATAGTATGCTTTAGGTATGAACTGACTGTATGTAAGAACATTTACATATTTGTTAATTTTGCAATCCTGCCATAAAACACAAAAAACTCAGACATTAAACTAAATCACAAAAGGCCACTTTAAACATAATTTTTATTCCACAGAGAGCAACATCCAGGGTTAGTGCAATATTTCTTACTTTGAGTGTTTCTTATCCCTCATTGATATTCTTCATTCTGCCATGATGTACAAATAAAACAAGCATTCATTAACTAATCTAAAACTAAAACTGATGAACACACTTTTTAATATTTTAGTGTTTTTATACTTGCTTGTTACATGTGCAAGTTTTGTACTAAAGTATTTAAATCAAAGGCACGTTGTAAACATTGATTCAAAGCCATCGCATAGATATTTATTCCTGTATAAGATTTAAGTATTTCCCGTTCTATTGTATTCTATTGTATTGTATTCTATGTATTGCACATTCACCATCATCACCAAAGCTAAGAGGAAGCAGGACAATCTTTGGTAAGCAGAGTAATATAGTGTGTAATATTTGAAGGATTATTCTTTCCAGGAGAGAAAGTAGAGCTTTCCCTGTCCATCCCCACAAACCAGCTCGCTGGGATTTTTAGGGTTCACCTCCAAAAGCAGAACAGGACCTCCACACACAAACATTCCCACCTGCAGGAGAAAAGAGAGAGAGAGAGTGATGGGTAACATCTGTACAAAAATACACAATGAGTAAAAACAGCGGGTTATGCGTCAGGCTTTTTTTTGTTGTTGTTGGATTTAGCTGATTTGGACATTAAAAAGTATTTTTAATGTTCAAATTTTGAAGTTTGAAACGTCTAATGTACCTGTTTCTTGGTGTTTCTATCCCACAGCTTCACTGTCCTGTCATAGGAGGCTGAGATGATGGTGCTGTCAGTGAGTCTCAGCACACTGATCCTGTCACTGTGGGCCTGAGGAGTAAACATCAACGTGTAAACAATATACACAATGTTTCAAGATATGTTCTTATTTTAACGCTGTACTTCCATAAAAGAAAAAACCTTTGAGCATCCATTTCACAAGACAGGTGAAAGTAGGAGAGCAATGTGTCTATCAAAAAGGTAAACTCCCGCACACTGTTTGCAAAGAGGCAACATTTTGGTACTAGACCTTAAACTTTGTAGTTCCACAAGAATTTTTTTTTTATCTTTTCAGTTGAGAGTGGAGCAGAAACAATAAGTCAATCAAGTGAAATCAAAAAACAGCAATTAATAACTAATGGAGCAAAACTGCCAAACATTTTGGAGGTTTCATGTCTGAGGATTTGAAAGTAAAGAGGCAGAACACAAAATGATGCAGAAATGCAACTAGTCATCTACAGTAAATACAATACAGCTTTAAATAATGTCTATAAAAAAGTATATCTGTAAGTAACTGCGACTAGTAATGCCCTCTTTGATGTAGATTGTCAACACCAACTCTCTTCATGATTCTCAGGTTAGTGGTCAATGGTGCCCCGTGTGAGGCTTCTCACAGAGATGCAGGCCCAAGTCCATTGTTTGCCTGTCTTAAGCCTGCGTGGCCCAACAGACCGTAAACAATTGCATGAAAGAGTCTTGACAGGAAGTTCTTTCAGCTAGGCTAGAAGCCCTGAATATCTCTGCTGTATCTCAATTAATGTGAATATGTTTTTGAGTTAGAGGTATCCAGTTGTGCATCTCTGAGCTCTTACAGGTTTTCTGCTGCGCCATGTGGAAGGTTCAGGAGCCTGGATGAACCACATGTTGCCCTTCACGTCTCCACACACGATGAACTCTGAAAGAACATGAAGAACAACGTTTTTAAAAAGAAGGGGAAAGTGGACAGATGGAGCCACCATGAATGTCCCCTCCCAGCCAGAAAGCAAGTCAGCTGCCTGCCAGTTCCCAGCCGAGGAGAAAATGCAGTAGCTATATTGTTGTACTCGGAGTAAGAGTAGTGAAAGCAACTGTCAGAACTAGAAGATGTTTGAACCTTTTTCCATAGTCAAAGCTGTGATCAGGCTCCCGTTCTTCTTCTCCTCCTCGTCGTCAGTTCCAGGCTGGTCGAGCAGAACGATGAATGTAAACGTTGTTTGGAGCCCAATGAAAACTGGAAAAAACACAGAAAAACAGGCATCAGTCAACATGTCATGAAAACCAGAGCTAAGTGATGTCTGAATTCACTTTTAATGAACAAGTATAAATATTCTTATGGCTTTATTTTGAGATCATTTGGTCAGAACTCACGAGGAAGCCAATCTCAATTTGTCCTTGTTGTTCTCCCAGCAGCCACATGCTCTTTTGGTCGCTTCTGATCAGCGCCATGATTCGTACTGACTCCGTCCAACTGCAATAACAAAATAAAAACAGAAGGAACTTTAAGTAAGTTACTTAAGCACACTTAACTATAGGTCAATAAAAACGTGTATGTTAACTTTGAAAAGCAGTATCGATGAGACAAGGTTTTAAATCATCAACATACTGGGCTTCTGTGTAATAACTCTAAGGGAAAAAGATCAGCAGACTAGTTTAAAAATAAACATCAGCCATATTCAAGACTATCTTCAAAATGCTGTGTTCACTTGCACAATGAATGTTTTATTTTTGTTGCCATTACTCTGAATAGTGATTGATATAATGAAAACTCTGAACGTCCTCTTTAGTATTTTGTTTTACTTAGAGACTGAATGGCCCCAGCTGTCTTCCTCAGTAGTTGACACATCCAGTATTGTTCCGTCTTGACACACGCCCAACAGGACCGAGATGTAGATGAGGTGGACCACCGGGTCTTCCACTTTGTGCGTGTTTACCTTCACCAGGCTGGGAGAGAGACAGACACACAGAGCAGAGCAGAGCAGAGCATCACTTCATCGATACATTAAACTCTGAAATCCTCACTTTAACCTTTCACATTAATCTCCCGAAGGGGAGGAGGTAACTTGAACATGCTCATGTATGAAGAAAGATTCTGTAACATCTCATATTAGTCAAATTTGTAACTCAGAGTGTAGAGTCTTTGTTAACAAACAGTGGAGATTAATCTGCTGATGTGATGTTCCTTCTAATCAGTCGTAATCCCTATAGAAGAGAAGGATTCAAATAAACCCAAGGTGACGACATTCTCTGAAAGATGATGTACTGATTTTGAAAAATTACTCAAATTATATGTAATAATCAAAGGACAGTCCATCTCTGCATTCAAATAAATACAAATTAAAACAGATAAAAACTGATGAAACTGAAAGACTAATAACTCTAAGCCATTTTTAATCATGTTTGTGCTGGTAAAACACATCATTTAGATCATTAGAAGTTAGAATATAATTCATGGGAAATATTTAATTTAAAATAAGAAACTCTTATTGGGTATTGTGTTAATTCATGGATTTATTTGGACATATTTTTGGCAATTATTTTGGTTATTATGGGTGGAGTTTAGTAATTGTAGTGGGCGCGATGCACAGGTGGTAAGAGGAATCAGAATGTCTTTTTTTTAAAGTTGTGCCTTCATTTAGAGAGAGTCTGGAATCAGGGCAAGAGAGAGAGAGAGAGAGAGGGGTATGACATGCAGGAAAGGAGCCACAGGTCTGATGCGAACCTGGTCCGCCCCTTTGGAGGACTACAGCCTCTGTATATGGGGTATAGCGATAACCACTACGCTACCTGCGCCCAGAGGAAGTCTTGTCTGTGGTGGAGTGGGCAGGAGTGTCACGCTGAATGTTTTTTTGGTAGCGTCTAAGTTAGGATTTGTGGATATCAAGTTTGGATGTTGCCATGTTAATTATTTTTGAAACACAACAGAGAAGGCAGTCAACAGATCTGTGGTCGCACCAGAATCAAGCATCTTATTGGCTCCCACTATCTAAAATGCCACTTCCCTTAGTTTGCATTTGCATTTGTTTTGTGAGTTGTGTTGTAAGAACTTTCTACATCACATCTGACCAAAATGGGTTTAAAAATAAGATTATAAAATGGATAAGAGAGTATGTCTCAGTAGTTGTGACTGTCATTTACCTCGCTGTGCTGCGTTGTTGATTCCACACCAGCTTCCACACATCAACAGCAGGCTTCATGTAGCTAACAGCGTACTGGTTATCAGGCATGGAGCAGATCGCTGTGACGGTGCTGGATGAAGTCTGACACACACAAAAAAAAAAACAGGCACAGATATCATATAATAACATCCACACAAAAGGCCTTTCTTTGTATGTCCAGTATACATCCCTGTTCTTCTGCACGTCCTCACCTGCTTGTGGCCAACCACAGAGTTGTTCTGCCAAATTTCCAGAAAACCAGATTCATAACCAACAAAGAGCAGATCATCTCTCTGAGAGAAACACAGAGCTGTGACGGGACCTCTCAGGCTGGAAGGACCGTCTGAAAAGACACAACACAGAGCTGAACTGAAGAAATGATCAGACTGCAACAAGTGATAGAAGACTAGGGCCCGACCGATATGGATTTCTTGGGGCCGATACCGATATTAATATTGGGGAGGGAACAAAACCAGTTAGCGATATGTCAGCCGATATCTTTATTGGATCTATTTCCAATCTGAAGACATAAATAGATATAGATATACACATAGATTGCTTTAGTAGCTCAAATGTGGATCAAACACTTGTGGAAAATATTTACAGTATAATGAAGACAAGATTGTCACTCAACTGGAATTGATCAAATTAGCCGTATTTTAGCCGGTATTTTATAAAAAGGTAGAACCGTATATGAAATGTTACCTGTTGTCAATGTCCAGCTTCGCAGTGAGCAGTCTTCAGAAACAGTGAGGAATTCTGGGAGTCCTTGTTTGGGAACAACTCCATGTACTGAGCCGCTGTGACCCTGGAAGGTGTTGAGGTGCTCCACCTGTACGTACAAGTAAAGAAAGTGAGAGAGAAGAAAAACAATATAAGAGACTGAGTCCAACCTTTGAGAGGGGTAAGACCCCAAGGAAGTTCTGCTCTGAATTCAAATTAAAAATGACACCAAAATAACAAAAGAAAAAAATCTTAGGAGAGTATGTTATAAAGACATTAAATATAGATTAAAATGCCGATTTTTGACAGCAGTAATAAACATATTCACAGCCAGGTTCAAAAACTAATTTGTGTCAAAAGCTCATTTCTAGCTGAACATGGGTAAAAAAAAATGTTTGGATAATTGGAAGCGGTTGTTAGTCTGCTCGCAAGTTAGGTTGAGAAAGCATTTCCAGTATGTTGTCCACTAATGTTTGGCTTCTTCAGAATCCAATCAGTGACGTCGCTGGGACTATGTCCATGTTTTACACAGTCTATGGAATAACCCTTTCAATTATATTAATAATAACACACTTCCACAAATGAGAAACAATGTAAAAGCCAACAAAAGATAAAAGATACTGCCTTCAGTACTGCCTTATTTTGGGATACAGTAAAACCTTTATCTAGAGGATTGAAACACGCCAGAGCACAACTCCTGCAAAAGCATATCCATAAAATGTTGTTTTTAAACATTAATCAGCAGTCAGACCTGTAGAGGTTTCCAGATCTGCACTGAGCCGTCATCAGAAGCAGTGAGGACCGTCATTTCCTCTGACTTGCCTTCTTCACCCTTATCTTGGAGAGAAAGAAAGAAAAAGAATAACAATAATGAACCGTTTGAATCAAACGGAGATGTGGATTCTCATATTGTATCTCTCGTGAGTTTAGCTGGAGGGACGGAAAGTGACTGCAGGTGTGAGCACACAACGTTTACCTGTATTTGGAAGGACAGAGCAGTGGTGGATACGCTGGCTGTGTGCAGCGATGTGGCTGACCTCTGTGCTTGTTTCCCAGTTCCAAACATGTAGCGCTCCTTTTGCACAGCCTGCCATCACATACTGACCCTGCAGACAGAAACAGCAAACAACACGTCAACATAGAAATCTCCTCATGAGGCTGAGGCTGCTTCCTGTATGCACAAGAAAAAAAAATGATGCCAAGACACAAACTATGAAGTTTATTTCATCCCTGATATCACAGTTTTGTATAAAGTTTGAGTATAAAGGAAAGACTGGAACAACACATACAGTTTTATCTGTGACAGACAGATGCAGAAGTTGTTTCTCACCAGACAGCAGACAGACGTAAGAGGACTGGGCCAGGAGATTTCTTTGAGACGTCGGCCTGCCTGCAGATCCCATAAACAAAGTCTCCCATCGTTTGAGGAGCTAATCTGAAACAGAAAAAAATGGAAGCTTGATGAATGCAGGTTTGCAAAAAAAAAACAAAAAAAAAAAACAGAGCAGAGCAGAACTATAAACACCACGTTAAGAGTAAAATAAAAAGATTTACCACACAGTCTGGAGTCCAAACACAGCCAGTGATCCAGTCTCTGTGAGAGTGAGGAGCGACTTGGAGAGAACAGCAGGACACTCAGTCACATCCCAAACCAGCAAGGCCTGAAACAAAGACACAAATCCAACAATGATATTTATTACAGAAGGTTTTATTATAGGAATATACCTCTCACTGGACATAAGGATTGGACAATATAGGATTTTATCAGTTGTGATCAAATCCTATTGTTGTCCAATCGTCCATTAGGAGGAGTTAGAGTTATTGGGAAAATCATGAATATCCTCACTGACACAACCAGTAACGTCACCCAAGGTCATTTCAGTATTATTGTCACTTCCTGTTTTATTTTGTACTTACCCGTACGTCTCTGTCTTTCAGATCCTGCCCTGATTGTGCGCACCTGATTGTCTGTGTATATATGGTGCATTCATGTGGTGTCAGGCGCATCGGAAAAATCAGTATCCGAGTTGTAAAATGCAAAAAAAAAGTCCGAACAACAACTCGGAAACTCTGGGAATAATTAGGTGCGACTTGAAGTCAGAATCATCATCACATTTTACATTTATTTTGGGTTTCTTGTGCCTTTATAGTAGAGATAGGACAGTGAATAGAGCCAGAAATCAAAGCGAGAGAGAGAGAGGGGAATGACATGCGGGAAAGGAGCCACACAGGCTGGATTTGAACTCGGGCCGCCCGCTTGGAAGACTACAGCCTCCATACATGGGGCGCGCGCACTAACCACTGCGCCACCAGCGAAACTTTTGACAAACTTTTTTATGAATTCACGTATTGCACGTCAACTTTTTGCTCAAACATAACTTGTAACAGTTATATTCCACTGATCTTCTTCGTAGCCTTAACGCTGTTTTTTCCTGTCGTTACAACACTTCGACTTTCCGAGCTGAAATCACGTGAACACACTGAAGTCGGAAGAACGACTTCCCAACTCTGAAACTCGGACCAACCCGAGCAGCACATGAATGCAGCGTGTATCCCTGTGTTTCCTCCCTCGTGTTGCCTAGTTACAGCCTCTTTTCTCTCAGTGAGCCTCATAGATCGTACCATATCTTTCCCACCGGTCAGCAGCTGTCCACCATCAGGGCTGAAAGACAGACAGGTGACTCCTCCAGTGTGTCCTCTCATCACGTCCTGAGGCTCAGTGTAGGTGTCTTCAGCCAGTTCACTCAGCGGCCACAAACAAACTGAGCCGTCATCTTTATTCAAAGGGAAGAAAAGAATGTTTGAATGCATTTTCTTTATACTACTTCTTTAAAACATGGAGTCATGTTATTCCTTCTCCCTCACTCACCTGAAGCTGTAGCCAGGCAGGTTGAGTTTTGTTCAGTTGCGAGGATGGGGCGTGAATGGTGAGTAAACACCCCCGACTCGTACAGACCTCCCAGCATCCCCTCCTCCCCATCTTTCCTATTCCAGACTCTCATACGCAAGTCGTTCCCTGCAGACACCAGCAGCTCCGTTTGGGTCTCGTCCTCGCCCACAGAGATCCACTGCAGGCACTTCACGGTCACATCGGCCAGCTGTGAGGCCCAAATCTTTTCACCTGTGATGGAAAACCAATAGTAAAGATGTGTTAGTTTACCAGATCTACTCTGTGATTCTTTAACTGCTCATTTTTTTTAATTTGTGCGTCATGTTTACAATGAGTATGGCAAGCAGAGGAGGTGATTTGAGTTGGTTTAAAATGAAATCAAGTTGGGTTAAAAAAAGGTTTTTAAATAAGCGTATTCTCTTCATAATTGTATCTGTGGTTATCTTTGGTGTTATAACTGTAGTTTCTGTTTGGATTTATTTTTGCATCATTGTTTTCCCCCTCTATATTTAATAAGGACTTTGTTTATGAAGTGTAGAAGATGAATCAAGCTTTGCCAACAAGTGGGAGAAATGAACCGACTTTGTTACAAAAGAAGAGAACACTACTGTATCTTTATGACATGAATGGACTTCTAACTGGATGATTATTAGATATATTATTATATATATATATATAATATATATATATATGTTATATATATTGTGATTGATTATTAGATATAAATATTGGCGGCAGCAGTAGCTCTGTCTGTGATGACTTGGGTTGGGAAATGGAGGGTTGTCGGTTCAAGTCCCGGTTCAGACCTGGTTGTAAATTGGTCTGGTAGCTGCAGAGGTGCTAGTTCACTTCCTGAGCCCTGCCGAGGCACCCTTGAGCAAAACACTTTGATCTTGCCACATTCTTCGTTTCTTACGACGGAGGATTAAGGTCACGTTAAAAATCTTTTTTTTTTTTTAATTTCGAGATTAAAGTCGTAAATTTACGAGTTTAATCTTGTAAATTTACGAGTTTAATCTTACCCTTATTATTTTTTTTAACGTGGCCCTAATCCTCCTTTATATATATATATATAAATGTGAATGTGAATTTTTTTTTAAGGAAACAGACTGAAATGAATTATGATTCCTCTATAAGACCTACCATTACAAACAAGATGCATAGTTTCTAAATAACACTTTCTAATGTGTGAAAAGCCTGCTGCAGGGTACGTGTCAGTCAAGGTGAGATAGAGCATGCTGCAGAAACAGCCTTTGTTTACACATTTTACACAGCAAAGATTCACAGTGACATATTCGACCGTTTAAAGACAGCAAGATGAGATTTCATTTCTTACAGGGCACGGGTTGAGCTCAGTTGGTAGAGACTCCCCCTGCTCTCTTTTTCCCCACATTTCACACCTCTATACTATCTAATGAATGCAAAAAAAAAAAGCCCACAAAAATATTCTTGGAGCAATTTTACAGGACAATAACAAAAAGATAAAAGGTGTTACTTTCCCACAGGAGGCCAAAACGGACGTGAACCAAAAGTCCCTCACAGGAGCTTTAAATCACGACTATAAACTGTAATATGGTATGTGTTTAAAAGCATATAATATAAAACACACCTGTCTCCAGACTGAAGAGTTTGATGCCGTCAATATGATATCCCACAGCAACATAGTCTTTGTTAACAGCCACACACAGAGCAGCTGGAGGACTGCTTTCACACTTCTGTTTCTTACGACGAGGCTCCTGCTCGCACTGAAGAACGAAAACAAGAACGGTCAAATAACCAAACAGCAGACGCCTATTTCATGCTCTAACTTTTTCAATTTGACATACTGAAAGGTAGCTGGATTTTAAGAAGAAGGAGCTTTCAAGACATAAAATAAGGAGCTTACCTCGTCACTTTTTAACACAGCAACTGAACGTCCGAGGCCCCCTGACCAGAGATGAAGCTGTTTAAGAGACGGACAAAAAGACAGAGAGAGAGAGAGAGAAGGATGTTCATTTTAAAGTACGAGAGAATATCTTCTGTATGTTTACATTCAGTTGGGTACTATGACTTTAAATATATATTTAAAGTGTTTCCTTTTCTGGATCGAAATCTGAAAATATCAGCCTCCTTCAGTAAACAACAAATCACCTGAAGTATGTTGTGAAATTAATTTGTTTGAACTGTATCGACAGCTAATGTACTAAAGAAGAAAAAAAACAGCAGTAGTAACAGGTTAGTCTCCTTTTGTTCTGTTTTATGGAAACACATTTTTGGAAATCTTAGAAGTTTTCAAGCAAAGACAATTTTTCGGTGTTTCCTCACCGCGTGATCCGAGCCGGCACTCAGCAGCATCCTCCCTTCCTCCAGGAAGGTGAGGGCCTCCGCGGCTCCGCTGTGAGCCTGGAAACATCCCACACAGGTGGAGGTGGCCACCGACCACACCCTGACCTCCCCGGACACAGAGCCGGAGCAGAGCATGGAGGACGAGGGAGCGAAGGAGAGACTGCGGACGGAGCGCTGGTGACCCGACAAGTTCTGAGGAAAAATGCAGAGCAGAAAGAGTGTTCACGACAACATCACCTAAATGATCTTTACCTTGACCGGGACATCGATCACATTTAATGCTCCTCTTCTTCAACTTCTTCACCTCAGTAACGTGTGGAGGGGATGGATTCCCTAAATTACTAAACAGTCAAAAGTAAGAGGAAGGTAAATTAAGGAAAGCTTCACTACATTACCCATAATGCAACTGAACCACCAATAGATTGGTTTAAGATGACAACCTTAAAAACACATAAGGAGCAAAATATAGAGGTCCTATTAGTTTACTCTCTTCCAGCTCCAGACCAGCAGATATTTTACATTTTCAAGCTGGGGAACCCAAGGCCTCACCAAAGCTCACTTCCATTTTTATCATTCAAGTCAGATAGTTTTGCACTTCCAATTACTCACTTTAATTATTTTATTCTGGAGCCAGTTCCAAACGATCACATTCCCGTCCCAGCAACCTGCAGCCAGCAGGTGACCCTCAGGGTCAAAGGTCACACAGTTCAAAGGGCTCGAGCTGTCAAAGGCTGCCACTTCTTTACCTGCAGCCGCAGACCAGACCTGAAAAAAAGAAAAAACAGAAAAAAAAACGGGTTCAGCGAAAAATCAGAAGTGCAGAATTATGTTAAATGTATATTTTATGATAATAATAACAGTTGAATGTCTTTTCCACGGGACGTACTTTCAACTTGAAGTCCAGAGACACGGTTGCGAGGTTCTTCCTGTCTGCAGTGATGTCACTCGCTGTGATCGTGTTAGTGTGGGCGTCGATGAGAGCGGTCCTGTAAAGAGAGGAAACATGAGTCCATTAATTCAAACGACATCAGAGGAAAGAAACAGAATAGATCAGGGTTAGAGGAAGTGTACAGGAGGAGGTGTTCAACCCTCCTCTCTCACCTGCAGCTGTTCCCCATGTCCCACATCTCTATCCGTCCATCGTAGGAGGTGGTAGCTAGGCGGCCATCTTTGAGAAACACACAGCTTGAGATGCCGTCACAGCTGCTCACCAGAGATTTCACTTCCTGTTCCCAAACGAAAAGTCAACATTAGACATTTTTGTACTTTTTTTTTTCTCAGCACATTTGAAACCTGAGCAACATCTTATTCAAACTTCTGTTGACACGCATCACAACCATTAAATACAAGAGGAAGAGATTTTTCAAGTGGTCAAAGGTCTCCTCTGTGTTTTCTTTTACCGTCTTTGCCTTACAGGCTGTTTATCTGATCACAAGTTGGAAAAACATACCGACACTCGGACAATCTCATTCGGCTTGACAAACTTTTCTTTCCATTTCTCATAAGTGCCGCCAATCTAGGTTGTGCTCATTCGTTGATTAAAACCACGAGTCCATCGGGGGAACGTAGTCTGTGACTTGCTAAAAAAAAAGTGACCAGGTGGAGATCAAACCACACAACATTTTTACTGGAACATTTTTATCATACCTGTCCGGTCTGTGTGTTGATAAGATGAAGCATTCCCTTCCCAGTGCCGACCACCATCAGCTCTTGATCCGTGCTCACGACCAAACAGGTCGGTTCGGAGGAGAAGGTGGACACCAGCTCACTGTAATGACACATTAAACATACATTTTTAAGACTCGTGGGGATCGTGTGTTTCAGTCCATAGCACCAATCCTCTGGAATTCTCTACGTCTTTCTGACTCTGTTGAGTCTTTTAAAAAACAATTAAAACCGTTAATAGTTTAGACAGGCCTCTGGGTAATCAGGTCCACCCAGTGTACCTACTCATCTATGTTTTACTGTGCCAATTGTTGTTCCTGGTTATAGCAGGAATTTATAATGTCGTCCATAACGTACTCATTTTTTCTTCTTTCATTGTATGTTTGCTGTTGTTTTTTTGTTGACGTAAAGCACTTTGTGACCTTTGTCTGCGAAAAGCGCTCTATAAAAAATAAACTTTATTATTATTATACAAGGGTAAAAAAAGACAAAATGAAAACACACGTTCTGGCACACAATCTTCATACCTGCTCTCCCTTTGAGCCTGATAGTCATTGTTCAACCACTGGACCACCTGGACCCCTCCTCTCCCCACCAGGCCCTGAGCCCAGGTGTGAGCAGAGGTCTCAGGAGGCTCGTTCAGGGCTTGCTGAATGAAAAGAGCCGGCCATGAGGAGAGCAGCTGGGCGTGGCGCTTCAGGAAACTATGACAGTCTTCTAGACTTTCTTGGAAACCAACTGAAAGAACAAAGAGAAACGTTTGTGAAGAACAAATAAAAAAAACACCGGGCAGGAGAATGAGAGTCATTTAATTTAAGCACCTACATGAAGGTGCTGAGTCATGATTAATATCTACGGAGAAAGAGAAATATCACAGGATACAAATGTATCAAGAGAAAGGCCTTCACAGTAAAAACCATTGCGAATAGATGAAAGGCCGATCAGACTCACCACACAAGCGATAGGTCTCCAGGAGTTGATGCAGGAGGCCGTGACGCACCTGAGCGTACAGGAAGTAGAAGCTGGAGAGAAGGGAATGAAGCGCCTCCATTTGACCACTTCGAATCTGTCGGGAGACAAATGAAGCAGAGCAGATTCAAAAATGTCCAGAAATAAAGTTACTGATGTTTTCTTCAGAAATGTTTGTGACCAGGACGATTGAGATTTTTTTCTGCACAAGCTAAGTGTCATGATTGTTTTGCTTTGGTTTTTTCATGTTTAATAGAAAATAGAAGAAATCTTTGCATGTCCATTCTATAAGACACGTGTGAAAAAATAAAATAAACTTAAAGATGAACTCTGTCTCATTTGCACACAAACATGCATTTGGCCGTTTTGCGCCTCGCTCCTCCTTGTTTGTTCGGCCAGACAAACAAACAAACCAACAGGTGTTGCAGCGATGGAAGCGGGCAAGCCAACTGGTTCAGATAGAAGTGATTGTACCCGACCTAAAAAAAGCCTCTGCATGTTTCTAATAAGCTCCACGAGCAGAAACGTGCTCCAACTAGGATGAATATTGGAGATGCTGTTAAAAAATGAGGACGCAGAAAGTACACATTTTAAACGCTAGGTGTCAGAGTTACGTAATAGTCCTTTAGAGGTGCTTTTTTTTTTAGTCTCTGCATCAAATGGATACAATATTGTTCCTCATATTGATAGATTTTTTGCATAAAAGGTTATTTATCATTTGCATGGTTTTGTCTGGACCTTGAGTCTGTGATGTAGTTCGAGTTGAGAGACAGCTCACCAGGTTTGTTGGCAGGTGCATGATGGAGTTGGCCTCACAGTGAAGGAAGGTGTCTGCGCCCTGTGGGTCGGCTAGAGCCCACAGATGACCTGTAAAAAGAAACACTGGTGGTATTAAAAAACACACTTAACTATACTCACATATCTTCTTCTATGAGACTTGTACATCATACTTAAATCAAAGGCGACTGTGAGTTCTTTACCTGCCAGCACCAGGTGAGCTCTGGTTCTGTCGCTCTCGGTATGGAGTAAAAAATCCTCAAAGGCTCTCCTCACCTCCAGATTGTTCAGAGCCAGGAGGTCGTCGGTGTTGTGGCAATGAGACGGACCAATCAGACTGCAGATACAGATCAAAACAGGTTACCTACTATATCTCTTGAATGATTAAAATGTATTTAACTTTGGTGAAACTATCTATTCATTGTGTGGACGTCCTTCCTAAAACCTAAACTTTGACATGTTGATTAAACAGTATATGCTAAGTAATCCACGTTGGCTAGCGCTACCTGGGTTCGCAAGGTCCATTCACCAGTCATGATTACTGTAATTACAAGTTGGATGCTAATTCTAGAAAGCAAAACTGCTCTAAACTATTAATAACCAACAACTGAGAGCATGTTTTCAACCGAATGCTTAAGAGGGATTTTTTTCAGGTCATCATCTTTCACTTTCAATGCCACATCATGAAACATATCCTGATTAATTGTCTATTTTATGCACTGGTTTTACCTTTATTTGTAAAATAAACATAATGCTGCTTTGAAGAAGACTTGATTCTTGCACTTCAGACCATGAACTGATTGTAAAATGTTTTACTGAGATATTAAATCAAAAGAGAAGTCATAGATTTCCATCCCGTAAGACTTCTTCTTGCAATCAGTGGAGGCGCCCCCTGCTGGCTGAAAAACATGTAATACTTCTAAACTGTCAATTAAAACAGATCCCTCAACCATGAACTCAAATTCAAACCTCTGTAAGCTGTGCACTATTCGGGTGAACGTTGCCATGGGAACACGTCCTTTGGGCTGCCTGGACAGATGAAGTACTTCATCCCATGTGGCCTGTCCGTCCCGTGAGGATAACTCGTTGCATGTGTTCAGGACAGAATACAAGTCTCTGTCTCTCAGACCTGTCAATCAAGAGGAACACGTTTAGTCCGTAGACTTGTGTTGGAAACCAGACATCGCTGGTTCAAGTCCCGGTGCAGAATAAGGTACGCAAATTGTTCTGGTGGCTCGAGAGGTGTTAGGTCAATTGTAAAGTTCTGCAGAGGTGTCCTTGAGGAAGGAACAAAACCCCTAACTGCTTTAGACGCCCCCCGTGTGTGCTCGATTAATGCACGTCCATAAGTTCCTGTTTGTGCATGCATGTGTTTCAGGCCTATGTGTACGTCACATGTCTCTCTATAAATGAGTGTAAGAACGGATTTCCCATTGGAAATTATTAAAGCATATACATAAATTATTATTTTTTTTTATCATCCCTAATAAGAGGCGGCTATGTTCCGAGTCAGTAGTCTTTAAAAGGACCGTTGGGGGTTTTGACACAAAGGTCATTGGGCACGAACCATGAAAATTGCTCCGACTGCGACGCCAGCGGCATGTGAATGCTTGTGAATGAAATCATATTGATGGACACTTCATGGAGCAGCTCCTGCCATCATTGTGTGAATAATGTGTGAATGTGTCATGTGGAGAAAAAAAAAGCTCTTAGAGTGATCAGAAGACTTAAAAAAGTTCTACACAAGTCCATCCCAAATGCAGGACATTGTAATGCTTGCTGCAGTGTACAAAATAAAATGAAAAATCACCCTGTCTGTGCATCATTAAAGTTTAAAATGATGTTTTAAACGTGGCTCATCTTACCAGTGGTGCTGACAGTGAGTGCCGCCAGGGCCCAGCGGAGTCCCAGCATGCCTCTGTACTGAGAGCAGAGTCTGTCCAGGCTGTGCTGCACCAACTGACTCAGAGACTGAGGCAAGTCCTGGAGGCTCTCCTTCAACTTAGAATCCAAATAAAAATGTGTTTTAGTCGTCAAGTTGGCAACAAGTTGATGTGTTAATATTAACTTTAACAGATATAATCAACAACAATGGATATAACTTCGCTAAGAACGATCAGGTGCGTTGTAAAACGTACATGTATTGAACATTGATCTGTTTTAAGACAAGCTGGCATCATGGCCTTCAGGCTTCCACTGTCATGTTGCCAGTCTGTCATTTGATCTGTTCAAATTTTTGGGTCCACTCTGACACGTTTCAACAACTTTTCTTAGAAGACAACCAGAAACTTGCAACAGATATTCTAACTACAGGACTATTTATAATAAGATGCATTCTGATGTTTTTAGTCGGCCTCTAACTTGTCCTAGAAAAAATAACTTTTGGGTTATAAAATATTGTAAATATTGCGTTATATTAAACTGAATTTTGTGCTTATTAGCACATTTAAGAATGGCAATATGGTTATTAAAATACCATTATCATAGCTTGTAGGTTAGCATTCTGTTTTCAGTGTTTATCTTGGGTGAAGTGTCTCAGATGCCTAAACCACCATTGTCTTATTCTGACATTGTTTTTCATATTGTCCCTGTCATCAGCTGCTCGACTGTAACTTTGGGTAAAAAGGTTCCTTTAAGTTTCCAACCAACGGAGCAAACACAGTTTTTAATATTGCAACGGCCAACAAGTCTGGGAGTCGACAAGTATTAGTTTTATGTAAATGTTTAAAAAAAAAAAGTTTTTTAATACCTTGTCAAAGGAGGCAAAGTTCCTCAGGTCTTCACAGGCCAGGTGCAGGTAGAGAGGACTCACTGCTCCCTTCTTCATTAACAGCGTCTGGAGCTGAACAAAAAAAAAAAAAAACACAGCACAGTTTTAGCCAAAAGGAAAAAGAGAAATTCTAAGTTGTAAGTACCTATAGCATTACGCATGAAAGAAGACATTATGCATCCAGAGTTCACAAAGAAGGAACAATGTAATAACTGGAGTGAAAAACATGAAGAGGGAACCTGGTTGTTGAATGCAGAGTCACTGAGTTTCTTCCCGAAGGAGTCCAGTCCCTTCTGAACGATCTCCTTTCTGTCCAGCATGGTGAGCTGACCCAGAGAAAACAGGACCGTGCCTCTTCTCTTAGCCAGCGTTTGGAGCAGAGCAGCTTTGGATGGGATGCTCACGACCAAACAAACACCCTGACAAAAACACAAGGCATAAATAAAATCAACCAGCCAAAACAGCCAGTGAATGAACTACACTATCTCTCTGACTTAAAAACTCACACCCTATTATTATACTGCATGTATTCACTAGAAACAGGTGTCTGTTTTTCTAACATTTTCTTTGCAGGTAACTGACCTGTGGAAGCTGCTGCGGTATCCAATCAGAGCAGAGCTGACCTCTGCCATCTTGGACGAGATCCACTCCATCAACCAGCAGCACAAGAGGTGTTTTCTTCTTCATGTCACTCAAACTGGAGTGAAACTCTGACAGCAAATCTCTGTGATGAGGAATAATATACGGAGAAAGAATATTTATAGTTCAAAGAAGATGATGTATCTTTAAATGTGACTTTTTTTTAAAAGGAAATTAAAATTGTAGTTACTTGTAAGAACTGGGAAGAGGTGCCTCCTCCTCCTCAGAGTCTTTCATTTTCTTCAACCACTGAACGAGGCAGCGGAGCAGGTTTTCCACAGAGCGAGCCGATTGGCTGGCAGCTGTAGAGTACGTGATGACATCACAGGCGAGGTTGTTCCTGGACTTCACACCGGTCCTGAGGGTCTCTGCGAGAGCAGCCTGTGTGCAGACAGATACACATGTAGAGTTTAAACTCAGCTCACAGTTTATCAGCTTCACCTAGTTTATCTACTTTTAGGCTAATTGCAGAACTGCAAAAGAAAAATAAGCAAGGTTTTAATGTTTAAAATGTTCTGATTATGACTTAGTTAATACAGACAACAACTGGGGGATAATCAGTAAAACATTTAAGAGTGTTTTCATTTTACCATGAAGACAGTTTTCCCCTCTCCCGGTCCTCCCTCCACCACCATCATCCCTCCTTTAGTCTGAGCCTGCTCCACTATCTCCACAGCTGCAGCCAGCAGCTTCTGTCTGCCGAAGAACTGCCTCTGCAGCGCCCCCTGGTGCACCTCCTGTTCTTTCACGTCAGACATGACCTCAGCATCCGCATCCTCCTGCCACACGGGAAATAAAAACATATCTATTGTAATATAAAGCATGAGGACACCTCGTTTGAAATGGAAATAATTCATAATTTAAGTTTCAAAAAGGTTTAAAGCCGTTTAGGTCTGAACAGAATATTCCTCAGAGGTAGAGTTTTACTTGAGTGGCTTGTAGGTGTTTAGAAATGTATCCCAATTAATTGGCAGACTAACTCACCTCCACAAACTGCTTCACGACAGCCGTCCACAGGTCTTCCAGCACGGCCTTGCCAAAGTCCTCCAGGTTTTTAAGATACGGTTTTCCCCCCACAACGCCCCCCCACTCGCTCTGGTAACTACGACATTTAAAGGTGGAAAAAAGGACCTCAGCTAAGACACTGAAAAACTGTATAACGCCGTGAAATGTGAAACAAATCCCAAAATAAATTACACAAATACAAGTTTTAAATGATGAAATAAATGTCCTAAATCCCACTGGCTTCAGCACCGTGGATTTGTCACTCACTTCTCAGTGACCTTGACTTCATGGTCCAGAACCCTTTTCTTCAGAGAGGCCATCTTAGACTCCGCCTCCTTTGATTCAGGAGCAAAGTGAGATCTCCACGCCACCGGGACTGATCTGAGAAACACAAAATAGAAATAAGACATAAAACACTTTCATAGATTTCCAGCAAACTACGTAGTGTTCCAGCATTAAAATCTATTTAATAGTATCACATATGCCCCTTCTAAAACGAATCTTAGGGACTGTGAGACATGGATGTGAGCGTGGGTTTGCATACTTGATGACGTTTGGATCTCTGAAGTAGCAGAACATTCTCTGGTTGGCTGTGTTGGGGTAAAGAGCCTCAAACTGACGGATCTCCATCTCTGTGACGGACAGGCCTGCTGGGGCCGAGGCCAGCTGCACACAGACGAGACAATCAGAGTGTCATCATTTACATTATGAGGTGCACTGAGCAGCACTACTTACTGACTCTGTACATGTCATTATTAGAAGTCTTACCCAGCTGTACTGGGGCAGGTCAGGTAGGACGGGTTTTGGAGGCACCAGGCCGTATCTCTCTCCGAGGACTCCCACCATCATCTGGCTGCGACACACCTCCGACAGGCACAGCTCCGTGGCCCGCTCTGACTCCTCCTCCGTCACACCCCAACGCAGCTCCACCTCCTGCAGGTAGAGGCAGTGCTGAGCAGCACGACGCCTGAGCTCTGGAAACACGCTCTGCACCAGGATATCCCGCTCAGAATGCATGTCTCTGAAGGTGGAGGAGATAAACACACGAACGCCTCTCCACCTGGGGACAGAAGAGGGAGTCAGAGTTAAACCAGTGAGGAAGCAATAATCTGAAAAAGGTGTCAAGTAAACAATACTCCAATAAATAAAAACTACCTTAACTTGGGGCTGGCTGATATTTGGACGATGTTATTTGCGTTTTGGGGGTCTTTAGCTCCCTCTGGTGGTGGGATGTTGTACAGTTTGTCTAAATGCTCCACATGTTCCAGCAGCCTGGATGATCCTCGCTCTGCCACAAACCTGATCATATTGATTAAAAAAAAAAAAAAAAAGGGAAAATATTGTGAAGAACGCATTTACAGTTGGATGAAAAGAACAACACCACTGTCGTATGTGTCTGATAAATGTAAAGCCAGTTTAGCTTAGCTTAGCATAAAGGCTAGAAATAGGGAGAAACAGCTCGCCTGGCTCTGTTCAGGTTAAAGTTATAAACACTTCTTTGGCATGTAATTCATTTGTTATATGTTGTTTTTGCAAGCTGCAAAAAAAAAAAGGGAAGTTAAAAAATAACTAATTATAACTTAATTAGAGGTCATGTAAAAGTTCCCAATGGATAAAAAATTACATTTTAGTCGTTATATAGTATAGGCTTAGGAGAAAGACTTAAGAGAAAGGGTTAGGTGTTCACTAAAGCCCCTTTTCCATCGGAGGAACTTTCCCCTGGAACGAGTGTGTAGGATAAAAAAGCAACAAGACTTTTCACCTGAGGATTTGTTCGCTGAAGCCGGTCAGTTTCACAGTGTTCCTGTCAGCTGTAAACTCGTGATCACTGCAAATGATCGACAAAACAAAACAAGATCAACTCAAGATACGGAAGAAACCGGAGAGGAAACAGAGACAAGATGAAATATTGAGACATTTTGTCTGTGACTGTATTTGTGTCTATGTGACTTTACGTTATCGCAACTTAACAGAAAATATCAAAATGACCCCGTGTGCACCGAATGAGAGAAGAACTTCAAAGATACAAAATGTTATATAAAGGATCAATTGAGTGCAGCTTCATCTTTCATGACTTGACTGCAGGGTTTATGAGTAACAGCAGCTTTACCTGTCTGAAAATAAAATCTTCACCAAGAGGGCTTTGTTGTTCACATCCATCCGGTAGCGGTTGATGATCCATTCAATTGAATGAGGAACATAGTTGTCAGTCAGAATGATGATGTTGTCAATCTGAGATACAAAAGCATGCAAGGTCAGAACAACAAGGAAGCATTTTGTACAACAGTCTACAGCAGCTGACCCTTCATGAGTTTTAATAAACAATGCTGCGCAGTGTTATTATCATATCATGTATAGTTCAGTTACTAGTTCACCAAATGTTTTTATGTCTTTGCATTGCAGAGTTACAGCACAAGCAGACTCATATTTCTGGCAAATTCACCACCTGGCATCAGATTTTTAGCACAGAAAATAATATAATGAAAATCCCTGCATTAACGAGTGTCAAGGCCTCCTTAATGACATCATGGCTAAAGGAAAAAGGAGGTCTGAAACATATGGGACGCATTTTTAAACCCCGAGCTTTACTTGACAAATATTTTCTTTCCTGGAAGGTTCAATAAAAAAAAAAAATCTAATAACACTCTCCTGCTGTTTTTAACAGCGGGCTTATCATACATATGGAGCGAAGGAGCAAACCTTATCAAATTAAAATTCAGCTGTAAAACACTGACCTTGTTTTTGTTGCTGAACAGTGTGGAGAAAACACTTTTGTCATTCGATGATGACTCGTGAAATTCCTGTAAAAGAGAAGAATCCCTTCATTAAAGAAATCACAGCACATCTGTTATGTAATATTATAGAAAGCTGAGTGTCCATCCATACTGAATAAGTAGTGATGTTTTTGTGAAATGAAGGCTTGTAAGAGACAACAAAACAAAAGGTCGACATAGAAAGGTAAAAGTCCCTGACCTTCATCTGTTTCACCACACTCCTGACATTATCGAGAACAACATTCGACTTCAGCTTGACCTCTTGACCATTACGCCAATCCATTATGCAGAGCTGACAGTCCTCAGCGCTGTTGCAGATCATCAGAGACAACAAAGCTGCAATCTCGTCAGGCTGAGGGAATGTAAACACAGCGGAGTTAGATTTGATTCATAGACTTGAACACTAATCAGGCGTTTTTGTTGGTAAGTGTTTTTAGGTTCAGGCTCTTACAGATGGAGTGAGCTTGTCATCCTCTTGCTTTTTCTTCCTCTTCCTCTTGCTCTCTTCCTCCTCCTCTTTTTCCTCCTTCTCCTCATTCTCTTCCTCCTCCTCCTCCTTCTCTTCCTCCTCCTCATTCTCTTCCTCCTCCTCATTCTCTTCCTCCTCCTCATTCTCCTCATTCTCTTCCTCCTCCTCATTCTCCTCATCCTCATTCTCCTCATTCTCTTCCTCCTCCTCATTCTCCTCATTCTCTTCCTCCTCCTCATTCTCCTTGTGCTCCTCTGGGTCCGGTGGGAGGCAGAAGTCCTGTGTCACTTTCGTGTCGGTATTGGCACTCATGAACGCAGACATTAGGATAACGGTCCGTCCAGGGAGCGGGGGCACGTTGTAACGACAGGAGACCTGCACGGCCGTCTCCAGAGCTTTGCGGTAACGATCCAACAGTTCGACAGTGTACAGCTTCTCACTGGATGCACGAACACATAAAACAGTTACATTCAAATTAATGTAATCATGTTTTATTATCTTTATAACTTTCATCTTTCATTTTTCATCTCAGAGAAGATTTAAAAGACTTCTGTTTTAGAAATGGATCATGTTTACCAGCCACTGCCCTCACACAAAAATCAATACCAAAACGTTTTCAGATGATTTTGAAGCTGCGATGTTTGGAGTACGTCCACAAGATAAAGAAGTTAGCTGCTAGGCACAAATGATGATACGCTTTCTGCATCTCTTTTTCACAAGATGACTCTCTCAAATATTAGTTTGAAGAGCTTATATACCATTTCCTTTAAGTAAAAAATTCTACTTTTAGAAAACTATTTTTAACATATGTAGAAATACAAAGCCACTGATAATTATGATTGAAGCGTCTGACTCCATACCATGAATACATTTTTGATAATTTGTTAATTTTATCTTCAACCTGTTATTCTCAGCATTTTTGTATTGCTTTAAAGGTCACATATTCTCCTCATTTTCAGCACGTTTAAATAAGTCTCAGAGATCTCCAAAACATGTCTGTGAAGTTTCTTGTTCTAAATCCGCTCTGATCCTGCATTTGATCATGCCTATAAACCCCTCTATTTCAGCCCTGCTCAGAACAGGCTGTTTCTGTGTCTGTACCTTTAAATATGCAAATGAGTTGTGTCTGACCATGCCCCCTCTCTGGAAGGAGATGAGGCTTGGGCTTTCTTTTACCATACTTTACAGTGATTGTTTACAGTGAGAAGGCAGACTCAGAGGGGAAGAACAAACAACAAGGTTTGTGGGAGTGTCACCCACCTGGGGGAGGGGTTACTGCCCTTTGTGATGTCACAAAGGGAAAATCTCCAAACAGCCTTTTTGAGCACACATTTTCCGAAAAGTGGAGCAGGCAAAAGACGGAGAGGGTGGACTTTTCTCATAATTAGGGGGTTTGCGAGCAGCATATTAAAGTTAGAAAAACATGGTGAAGAGTTTTTAATAATACGTGACCTTTAATACTTAGTATTGTAATGTGTATGCCATTTGATATTTTGAAGTTGACCAATAAAAAGTCAAAGGACAAAGGGTACTTTGGTACTAGCTATCCTCCTGTCTCACTCTGTCTGCAGTTATATTGAATATTTTGTTTCTATAGTTCTCTTTCTCTGGATCATTCTTTCAACAAAACAATTCTAAACTAAAAGGTAAAAGAAAGAAATCCTTAGAATATCAGAGAAAACATCTGCAACAAAAAGGTAATCTCATACTTGGCTTTATTGAGCTGGGCCTTCTTGATTCGGTACAGTCGGTAGATGAACGGCACCCCGAGCGTCACCTTCAGCCGGCTCCTTCCAGTCGTCTCCCAGTCCATACTTTTGAAGCGCTTGCTCTTGGGAATCTTCTTCAGGATGCCCTTCAGGATCTCTTTAACTGGAGGGATGGCCTTCTGTGATGCCATGGCTAGACAACAGAATGCCAAAAAAGAAGACTTAATAATCCAATATTTAAGATATGACTCAGCAGCTTTGCTGATAACACAATGTTATGGTTATTGGCAGCCATTCTTTTAACATAACATTTGATAAGGATCTGAAAAATTAAATGTATCGCTAACCCCTCCTTTGAGATTTATATTGTGTATTTTGTACAGAGGAGCCCATGTCTACTCATTTAGTGTATCTTTTTTTGTTGTTGTTGTTCAAGGTTCTGACTCTCATTTTATAAAAATGAAGTCAAATTTGACGACCCTAGTCTTTAAAGAAAGCTCCTGAAGTTTAGAGAGTCACTAGATGTAGAAGTATCTCACCCAGAGTTTGAAGCTGCATGACGACTTTGTAGGCAGCAAGAAATCTGAAGGGAAACTGTCGGCTCTGAATAACCGCTGTCTGGAAAAAAACATCAATAACACAAAGTCACTGAAAGAACGCGAAATTCTGCATCGTAAAAGTTTGATGAGAAAGGAAATGTAAAAAAAACCATCTCATTATTTAGGTCAATATTTTCACATTTACCTTTGAAAAACTGTATGATTATTATTTTAAACTATGGACTCAGTACATGTTGAGTCTCTTGGACCTCACCTTATTGGTGAGTCTGTCGAGGATCTTCTTGTGATGAGCCTCGCTGATGCCTTTAGTGATCATGTTCCTCAGGTTCCTCAGCATGGCCATGAAGGGAAGAGACTTATTGTCTGCACGGTGGAGAAATTATTCATTAATATGTGTGATCATAAACAAACAAGTAAAGCTGGATATGCTTCTTAATTTATGCAGCTTGTCACAACTCTACGGGATTAGCATTAGCAACGAGGGGAGGCTTTTATTGTTTAAGAAAGCCTCGCCTCTCTGAACTTTCTCTGGATAAACTAAAAAGGACACTTTTTGAAATGTACAGTGTATGTCTCAGCAGACCTATAAGCTTCTCCCAGGTAGCAGCCTTGTTCCCCTCCTGGCTGAGCAGCCGTTCCCACGTCTCCGGCTCTTTGAGCTTCATCCTCTGCCCGGCTCGCTCCCTGTCCCACGCGCCCTTTATTCCACTGCGGCTGAATATCTTTGGATCAGCGGGATACCTGGAATCCAAACAAGCACATTTGGAAAAAAGAGGCAGAACAAGCCAAGAGATAGTCCTGTGAAGAAATGTACTTTCCTGAACCACAGAGATGTTATATACCCCTTCAGTCAACTTTTCATTATTCTAATGTTTGAACAATAAATTGGGTCTAAAAAGAGGTCTGGAGCAAACTGTTTACAGGTGGGGGGGGAGACACACTGCATTTAAAGAGACACACACTAAAACGGAGCGTTCTGCGAGAGCTGGTTTATATAGGGTCACAAACCTCCTCTGGTGCTTGATTCATGTTATATTTTGACTGAAGCACAGCACAGATGTTTCATTTAGACCACAGGAGACTGTTTGAAAAGGGGGAAAAGGTAGAAAAGGGGGATAATATGTCCTCTCTAAATAAAAATTTGGGGTGCCAAATGTTTTCCTTGGACCCTCCCTTACTTGTATGTAATAAAAGCTGAGCCAGCTGCTAATATGAATTGTAATTGTTTTCATTAATAAATCCAAAGAGAATAGACCTACACACACATCTTCTCAGTATGTATGCTCACTCATGATTTCAGTTTATTTGTGAAAACTAAATTTTGACAACCTCAGAGCAGACAAAGCCTGGTGCCCTCCCCTTAAGGTCTTTGGTGCCCCAGATGGGGAACCAGTGGCCAAGCAGTTGAGTTGCGCCCTATGTTAAGGGGCTACAGTGCTCCAGGAGGTGGCTCCGGGTTTGAATCCAACCAGCACCTTTACCACACGTCATTCCCCACTTGTTCCTTTATTCTGTACTCTGAGTAATGGCATAAAATCTAGGGCGGAACCGATACAGGATTTTTGAGGCCAATATTGATGTTAAAATTGGGGAGAAAAAAAAATATCTGCTGATTTCTTTCTAGATCCATGTTCAATCTGTAGAGATCGATATGGATATACATATTCATTGTGTTTATCACAGGAGGCGTCACAGAGATGTAAGCTGTAAGAAACATTTTAATGTCCAGATATCTGCTCTGGATTAACAAAATATATAATGATGACTAGACATTTAAAAAAAGAAAGTATCTGTGAAAGTCATGAGCGTGTTAAAGTGTGTGTTTGTGTTGCTCACTTCTTTCCCAGGATGGCCATAACATGATCAGCCGGTTCTTTAATGTGAAGCTTCTTGATCATCTTCTTCATGCTGAACTCACTCTGCTTTTTATCCACCACTGCTTTACTGCCCTCTACCTGCAACTACACACATAGACCAGTGTTACCTGTGTGTGTGTGTAGCTACAAAAGAACTATCTCTGTTGCAGAGTGAACACAACAAAACATCATATAAAGGCATATTTTTGATTAGCTTTCTTCTTATACACCAAGAAAGAGGATGTTGATTTTCTTTTTGCAACAATGTTACTCAAACAATCTGCACCAGATCACCATACATACTATAGATTCATTTGAACTTATCCTGCATTTTAACCTCACTTCAGGAAACACTTCATTAAATATGCGCATCTAAAACTGGGAAAACAGCCAAAATACAACATTCCTAACACAAGAAGAGTGCTCTGGATTGGACTTACAAACTTGGACAGAACAGTCTCATCTGACCGCAGTAAGTTTGCCCACCCTTTCATCTCCTTGCTGCTTGGTTTCTGTAGAGTTGAACAAACAGTATGTATTAGAAACAAAGGGGTTGATTAAGGGAGGGTATGCATCCAGTGATGGTGTAGTAAAAAAATAAAAAAGAAGGGGGGGCTGATATGAATGCTTCTGTACCTTGCCTTCGGGCTTATTGCGGCTGTGTTTACAGCGGTGTTTGCGTGTGTTGTATTTTGCCAACTGGTACTCGTTGAACTGCTTGAACTTGTCAGACATCGCCTTCTTCAGGCACATGGGCAGGGAGCGGCTGAAGCACTGGAGACAGGCAAAAACTATGTTAAAACTGGAAAAGACCCAGGCAGGCGAAGTTAATAACAACATCTTTAAAATCGAAACATGGTCAAATACAACTTCCAAATCCCAGACGCTGCAATTGTTAAAGGTAAATGTGACAAAAAAAAGCAGTATGAAGAGGTAGCAAAAGTTGTCTCAACTTTCAAATATTGTTCCTGAAACATAAGAATACTTGTATATTTGGTAGAACAAATCATCAGGATCTATTTCCATTCAAATGAGATTGAAAATCTATTGGAAAATCTATTACAAATTCTCACTTGTCTTGGATCATACTGCAATCGTAGAATATGACAAAATAACTGCAATACGTTTCTTTACAGTACTTACTGAATAACCTCTAACCCGAGACAAATTGAATGTGCTGTAATGTCCGAAGAGCGCCACACGCTGGACGCTCTCTGTCACTTACTGTGCTGTAGATTCTGACGACTTCCAGCCAGTCTGAGGGCAGCTGGACGGCAGAGCAGAAGTATCTGCGGACATGCGACTTGGTGGACGGCTGATTAGCAGCCAGAGCCAATAAGAAGTTTGCTGTGATGCGGATGTTCAGCTCCTGTCGAGTGTAGACTGCCACCTAAAAGGTTAAAGAAAAAAACAAGCACACAGCCCGTGACTGAAAGTTAATTTTGCTTTTATTTTTCCTCATTTTTTTGGTTTGCATGACAGCAGGGAATTAAAGATGACCACTTCGGGTAAAATAAAGCTCAAATGTGTAATTTAAAGTAAAACACACGTCCACCCACACACAGACCCACCTTGAGAAGAAACTGTGGGTCAGAAACAGATATGCCCTTTGCCAGGTTCATGATCCTGGTCCAAACACTTGTCTCTGAGTCCCACTCCTTCTCTCCTGGATTTTTGCTCTTATTGACCAGGGAGCAGCACACAGCGTTCAGCAGGAGATACTGAGGAACACACAGAAGTTTGTTTAGTATCTGTCCAAATATCAGAAAAGTTAGAGACATTAAATAAACATGTGATGGTTTATCTACTCCTTTTCTTCTCTGTGTGTCATGTGTCTACATGTTGTTGTCCTTACTTTGTTATCCTTCAGCTCCTCTTCAATCTTATCATCTCCCCTTTCAAGCTCAGGGAATTCCTCCTGTTTGACGACCAAAGCTCTCCGGCTTCTAAATCGGCTCCAACAGCAGATAATTCCATGCATGACCCGTCATCACTATCCTCATCCTCGTCTTCAGACCAAAAGTCCTCCTCCTCTGAATGCGTCTGAAAAAAACAACAATGCCATCAAATGTGATACATCAAAACTGTTATCTATTTCATGAGCAAAAAAGGTTAAAAAGTAAAATAAATGGTATGTACCTCACTTGTTTCTTCACAAAAAGACTGCATCGCTTCAGATGTTTCCTCACTGCCTTCATCTCCCCTCTTTTCCTCTCCACCCAAAACACCAGTGAGGAATGAAGAAGGATGAGCAAAGCGACCGCTGGACAGGGATGCTGGGAGCAAGGAGTCATGAGGGACAGATGTATGGGAGGTCAGGGAAAAAGAAAGAAGAGGTGATCGGCTTTCTAGAAGCTTGTTCTCAGTGCTGAGGAGAGAAGAGGTGAGGGAAGGTGAGACGGAAGAGGTGGAGAGGAGGGAGGATGAAGTGGAAGACAGGGCGGAGGGCTGCAGAGCAGGGCACGAGGAAGGCTGTATTGCAAGGTTTAAAAGTGGGGGCATGAGTGTGGACGTCTGAGTGAGGAGCTTGTTCTCCAGACATGGCGGAGCGTAGTTGGAAGACAACTCCTCCCACATGTGGCCTGTGGCTGCTGCCCTCCTTGGGTCACATCTGCACGCTGCAAAGTCAGAGCCCTCATCTCTGCAGAGAAAGAAACCACATCATTCACACTTGAGCTCCTCCTCTTATTCACAAAGCACAAAGCTTCATAATCCCAAATGACATAAGTAAGCAGACAAGTAATTCAGCAACATTTCTTCAACCACTCAAACAAGCTTTGTAGGCTACTACTGCAGGGTGTGTTGCTGAAAACATCCATAAAAAGGGAGCAAAGTCTGAAACAGTCTGCACACAGCAAACTAACTTTTCACACTTTAACTGGACAAGGGGGAATCACTATTTGTAATTAAATGCAAAAAGTAGTTTAATCCTGTAAAAAGGAAGGAAAAAGCTTAGTGTGCAAAAAAACAAACAGAGCCTTACCAAACTAAAACTCTTTAAGTGACAGAATGGGTTTAATAAAGGACGTGAATGTTCAATCTGGTAAAATTAAAAATTAAAATTAAAAAATCAGATACCATTTGTTTTAAGTGCTTTGTAAAAGTGGGTAAAGCAGCAATTCAATATGACTCGTAAAAAAAATTAACAAAGTCATTATATGCAGTAAAATTAGGCATTGAAACATAGCAAAAACACGCCCCGACAGGCACTTTAAAACTTATATGAACTGAACTGAGACATTAGTCAGAATTCAAAATGGGTCGTTTCTCTGAAATGACTCAAGAGTTTGAGTAGGTGTGGTGGTCAGCCATGATCAGATGATGAAACTCACCGCAAACCCCTCTGAAACACGCTGCAGAAGACTGCACCGACTGTGAACAAAAGGTGTCCTCCTGTGTTTACGGTTAGAGTTTAAGGTAGTGAAGTGTTAGCATTTATTTCGGACGCCTATTGGGCTAAGTAGTTCCTGGTTTACAGTAAATGCCCTCATAGGAAGCAGCTGCTTTGCCTCTGGGTTTGATAAGAGAGCGCTGATTGGTCAGTATTATTGTGTACTTTTTTACCGTAATGACAGGTGTATGGGTCACTGTAATCAAATTATCGAGTAATTACTGACATGACAGTGGAAAATGCGTAGAGGAAACCATTCACCCTTTTATAACACAGCAAAAATAATACAAAAAGTTACAATATATGTTTTTAAATGTTTTTAATTCGCAGCCTGTCCGGTGACACGCAGGCGTTACCGTAACTGTTCGTGTACGAGTCAAAAAAAAAAAAAAGGAGGAACCGAAAACGCTCTACTTCCGCTGCAGCAGCGACAACGGGCACGTCAAAAAAGAGAGGAAAATGTGGACCGTAAGGACAAACTGAGGCCGGAGAAGGACCGTCGAACAACGTAAAAGGTACAGGCCGAGCTCGGTTGCCAGGTAGTTGTGTTTATTCAAAGTCACCCGACGAGTATATCACAGTTTAAGGGTCGTTTCGAGGTTAACTCGTCCCCCCCCCCTCCTAGTTGTTCTGTGGTGGTTCGCTTTGAGGAAGCTGCTCCGGCTAGCCAGGCTAACTTCGCTAGAGATGGGGACGAGAGCAAGTCGCCTACAGGAGGACCCGGTTCCCTCTGCTTTCGGGAAAGACGGCGCAAAGCGGGAGTCCTACCGGCGACCCCGCTGCGCCAGGCCCACAAGTCTCATGGTGGACTTCTCGGTGAGCTTCGAGGACACGGAGGCCAACCAGAGTCGATCGGAGGAAGGCAGCGACTCGGACCTCGGGCGGCATGGGGCGAGCGCCGACGGCAGCCCCGCCGACCACCACCACCACGGCGAAGCGTCACCTGCGGACGACGACGACGACGACAACAGCGAGGGGAAACCCGAGGACGAGGGGAGTGTAAGCCCGGAGCCCCCCGTCGCAGCGGAACACCAGCCCGGAGAGGAAACAGGCCGCACACCCCACCGCACTTTTTCCGAGCGGCTGCCCGGGAATCGGCACTCTTCCTCCCGCAGCGTCGGCGCACGATCCGCCCGGGTCCGAGGCACCCACCAGCGGCCGGTGTCAGAGGCTTGGATCGGCCTTTACCGTGTCAACAACCGCCATGGCAGTAAGTTTGACATGTCCTCACATCGCAGGAACATTTTTCAAATACATTTAATACAAAATATTTTTGTCTTTTTTTTTCTTTTTTTGAAAATACACATGCCTCGCTCCATGCTGGTTTCCACACGTTTCCTTTACATTCGTGAATGTGTTGGAGCTTGGCAATGTCATGGAATTAAAATGACTAAATAAAGGTAGAAAATGTGTGGTATGGCTGTGGATTTAAAACAGCTGATTCCATGTTTTGTGTCAATAAATTCTGATTCTAGTGTTTCACTGAACACTGGAGTGGGTTGAATGTGGTCAGAGGGAATAACAGCAGAGTCAGAGTCAAGTGTATGGGGGGGGGAGGAGGACAAAGCCAGAGAAGATGTTTAAGACTGTATTAGTTGTACTCTTATTGAAAGACATTTAGTCTCACTTAGCCGTATGAAAATTGTATTAAAACATCTTTCAGCTCCGCCTGTAATCCACCCAGTAAGAAATTAATATGGATTATGTGAGGAATTTACATTCCAGCACAGATAATCTCTTTTCCCGTGCCTGCATGTGGACCAAAATCATCAGAGACCCTATTGTATGAAGCACAGAGTTGTGGCATACAAGCTCTTTTGACGTCACACAAGGACCTAATGTCGATCAGGAATTGTCGGCGTTTAAAAAAAAAAAAACCAACATTAAGTAACCAGTGACCTTTGCATAATGGGAAACGGGAATTTTCAAGGGAAGTGGGAATGCGTTCTTGGGCTGCTTTAGACAATCAAACACACAAAGAGTCGCTCGGTGGGTTTCGGTCCTGTGGAGGAAAGCGTGAAACCGGAAGCCAAAAAAAAGCAACAGTGTGATGGGTTTTCCTAGGCCAGCCCTCTAGCAAGTGTAGGGAAATGGGTCACAACTTCACATGCCCGCTTCACTGTTGGCAGGAGAAATCAGGGCAGCGAGGCACTGTATCTGGCCGTCTGTTCCATCTACTCATGGCTGTTACAAAGTGTATCCCTGCAGCCTTAGTCACTGCTTTGTGCAACCAACTATTTCTGGTCTGCTGCGCTCCAGCAGACATTATTCGCACTATCTTCCACCTTTGACAATCTAGCCTTCACACTGACTGATTGTGTTTCACAAGTCGGCCGGTGTAATCTAGATGTCCACAAAAAAAGGCCGAGCACTTGTGCTCAACGTGATGCGTGCATCATCCATCTTTTATACCACTGTGACACTGTGTTAATCTCAGCTCTGTTGTGTCTCCGGCTGTGCGCAGATATCCGCTGTCCTTTCTGCTCAAAGCCTTTCCCGGGGGGTCGCATCGAGGATCACCTGTTGAGCTGCCTCACGTCCCCTCCCCTACCTTACAACAGTAAGTGTCATATCACAGAATTGCCCTGTTTTATTTTTGTTACGGCTGTAAAAAAAAACAAAACATGGTTGCTTTGTGTGTCTTTGTGTACAGCGGACGTGCTCAGTAAAGACAGCGGAGAGTGCTCAATCTGTTTGGAGGATCTGTTACAGGGGGAGACCATCGCCAGGCTGGCTTGCCTCTGCGTCTACCATAAGAGGTAACAAGGATCAGTTGATGTATTTGCATGACAATGAAATACAGAGAGAGCGAGTCAGAAGAAATGCAAACGGGGGCCAGGTGAGATTAAAAACATGGCAGGAAAGTGCGTTAAGCTTTCTCCAGACCTGAAAGAAAAGGTGGCGACTAGGCTAAGACTTTTGGAAAACAAGGAAGGCAAAGGTTGTTCTGTCTGTGTGGTAGCAAACGTACCACTACACAGTTCAGATAATTACAGCCCCACTGTCCTTTTTCCATGATATCATGTTCTTAGAAGTGATCTTGACAACCACTGCTCCTGATGTACTGTTATTTAGAATCATTATTTTGAACATGGGATTAGATTACCGCAGTGTAAGAGCGAAAAACGGTGCCGTGTTTCTGTCCTCTCACAAGTGACTTTACACATAAATAGATTTTGTAGTTGAAGTGTTAGTAAATTGTAAAAAAAAGTGTTGACAATTGTGCTTTTAAAACGTCATCATCATCAATATTCAGTGACATGTACAGATATACCACATCGAGTCGCAAAGATTTGAAGTGTTGTGAAACTTTGAGGAAAAAAGATTTGATAATCATGACATTGTGAAAGTATGTTTCAGCCCGTGAGATGTTCCACGTTTTTGGTTTTCCCCAGCTTCCAGCAAGCCTTGACTTTCCTATAATGTCAGCTCAGGGTGAAACTGGACATGCTGAGACTTGAAATATACCAAGATTAAGTAATCCGTCATAGTCGAGCGAGGAGTCTGCCTGCTATTTTCATTCGTCATGATAATTGGGGTTTTATTGGTATGAAAATCCACATTCTGTTTCCATACTTTTTTTCCAACACCTCCGTAATTCTACCCTCACAACAGTGACAGCGGACGCCATGTTTGAGCAGCATGTAATATAGCAGAGACATAAGTAAGCACCGGACATTAAATCAATCCCAGACAAAGCACGCAGCATGTTTGTCTTTTTGTTTTGTTCTTATGGTCTTGTAGTTTTGTGCAGCAGATTGTAGGTGTGGTTGTCTGGCAGTTTAAGTGACATTCTGATCCTCCCAGCCGAGCAAATGGGATCTGGAAGAGAGAAAAATCTGCCATTTTGGAATCTAAAAGACGACAGAGTTGAGAATAATCTGAAGAGCACATGTTAACACATTGCACAAAAGGAATGTCTATTCTAACAGGATGATTACTCCCATGTTTTTTTTTTTTAACTCTTCAAACCTGGTTTTAGTCCGCCCAAAATAAACTTTTCTTATTTTAAATAATTTGTTTAATTTGACAAACAGCTGTCCAGTGAACTTTGAAAACTGTCTTACAAGAAAGAAGATGACCTGCTAATTGTCACAGCTTCTGAATTTTGACATCAGTGCTTTAGAGACATCATTTTGTAGTAAGTTAAAACATCTGTAGGTTATTTTTACTTCTCGACTTATTTACAGGGAAGTTGATTCAGATCTTTATACATCATTAAGCCTGATTAAAAAAACATTGTGGTTTATCTCTGTTCCTGTTGCGTATTAAGAGCCAGACAGCTCTTCACACTGAAGATAACATTGGTTTTGGTTTCATTCTGTGTCAGTAAGTGGATCAGGAGATGTAGACGATAACTCGATTCTCGCACTTCCACTTGAGTGAATCAAACTTTAAAATTCTCTGTGTCCTATCTGTGATCTTTCTCCCGTAGCTGCATTGATTCCTGGTCCAAGGTGAAGCCCTGCTGCCCCGAACATCCCTTTGATTGACTCGCAGGTCACATGTATTCTGCACAGTGACCAACCTGACTCAGGTTTGTAGCTATATGACCGAGAAATGCTCGGAGCTTTGAGGTTGAGCACAACGGTGGTACTGTTACAGTAATGCATAAGCTGTGTTTGTGATCTGTGACATAATAAGTGACTTGTGTAGAGCAGGGTTAATACTACCTCACATTTACGCACAGAAAATAATCGACTTTACAAGGATTATTAGGCTGGATTTAATTCATGTTAAAGACACAGCGTGTAAAAACTGAAATTTCCCCTTGCGGGAATCAATAAAAGTAAATCTTAGATTCCACCACCAGCTCTCAATCAATACAATAAGAAAAAGGTGATCATGGGCGTTCTCTCTGCTTTTTATTACTGATTAATCTGCAATTTTAAAATGTTTTGGTACAATACATACACTGAAAAGTATTTTAATGATTCTGACTGCAACCACATGTCACAGCCCTGCTGCAGACTTTTCATGAAACAGTGAAGTAGAGAGCGATTGTTTCTGTAGAGTTATTTCTAACGCCTAAAATCACTGCCAGAGGATAGGTGACAGGTGAAGTTATGAACTGCTGAAACCTTTTCCTCCACATTCTCTGTGAAAAAGATTGACAGTAAGTGATACATTTGACTATTTAAAGACACAGGGTGAGTTTTTTTTGGTCAGATGACACTAGAGGTGGGGAAAAAAAAGGATTTATATAAAAATCAAGATTCTTCTCTTCTAAGATATAAAATCAATTCATAACTTTCAAAATTAGATTTTTATTTATTTGTCTTTTTTGGGCTAATCAGTCACTCCCTGCTAAGTGCTAATGCTAGCTCTTTAACCAGAACGCCAAATGGAGCAACAAGAAATACAGCCACGCTCTCAGATGACTGGAGTAGATCCTGAAGTAATTCATAACTAGACTTTTAATCCATGACTCCAGAATCAATTCTGAATCAAATCGTGAGACACCCAAAGAGTCCCAGGCCTTGCTTAAACATGTACAGGAAAAGATCAGCGCAGAGATAAGAGTTGCCAGTTGTCCACAGGGGGGCGCCAAAACGATCACAAACAGACACAATACAGCGATTACCGTATGCATGTCTTTGTCTAACGGCCCCTCTGTGTTTTTCCCCCCTCACAGGAGACTACACTGAATCCCAATAAAAATCCCAATAAAATAGTGTAATTGAACAAATAAAACCCCGCGGTCCCTCTCAGACACAAACCTTTCATTTGAGTGGAGAAGGGACGACCCAAAGAGGAGGCTCCAGTCAGCGACACCCGAGGCTCTCTCTCCGTTTGGATCAGTTCAAGAAGAACCCGGTCTCTGACATTTCAAGCCAAACTCCAGCTCCTCTGTCAAACCTCTGGCTCAGACCCTCGTCGGAAACAAACGTGGAGGAGGTTCCCTTTTCTTTGTTACAGACTTGGCTCGAGTCCCTGGAATATTCAAAACAAAGAAATATGTCAGATAGACATTATCATCCCAGAACGATGGAGCGCTGCCCAGGAAGATCTTGAACTTGGGGAAGAACACACATTTAAAAAAAAAAAAAAAAAAAAAAAAGTAGTTTGAGCTGTGACTCTGGATCCTCTCCTGTGTATTTTTTTTTTCCTCTCTCTGAACCGGATTGGTCATCAATCAAGTATTTTACGGAGAGTGTATTGTTCCACGTCATACATTGGATGAATGTTTTCTTTGCTCGGCTTACCCCAAATGAACTAACCTTACACTGAAAGCGTGAACTCTTGCCATGCAAACATTGCTTTATTTGACCTAGCTGGAGGTTGAGGGCTTCTTTTTTTTTTTTTTAAAGTGAACAGGAGCTGCTGTTTGGTGTTTAATTTTTTTTCTTGTTACCAGTAAACATTTCAGGGGAAGTTTAGGGGCTAATAGTTGTTTTTTTTCTGAGTAGGTCAGTTTTCTTGTAGGTGGTTGTTAGCTCTGAGTTTAATGTGCTGCTACTTGCTGAGTGTTCAGGAGGGTGGTAGGTGTTTCATAGGGCCATAGTAGCACTGGTGTTGGCATCGATACGAGCACTTTTGTTCCTCAAGGCTGATTCTTTTTTTTTCCACATCAAGTCTGGGATAAGGTGTGTGTGTGTGTGTGTGTGTGTGTGTGTGTGTGTGAGAATGTGTGTTCTGATGATGACCAGGGACAGGAAATGTCCTCGTGAGCATGACTGTGTATTAAAAAAAAAAGTGTGTGGCTTTGTGTGTGTGTGTGGCTTTGTTTGTGTGTGTGTTTACTGTAAATTGCCCAGAAGTCTGCTTGGTCAAGCGGGTTTTTTTTTTTTTTTTTTCTAAACGCTTGTTTGTATTTGCGGACATTCTGTTACATGTGGCTTTGGTACGCAACATGGAGGCAAGTGTTGGTCTCATGTGCGCTCTGGATGCAGTTTGGGTTTTTTTTTTTTTGTCCCACTGACCCCCACCTCCCAACTCAGTCTCTGGGGTGTAGTCTGGATTTTTTGGGGCCAGATCCCTAGCGACAGTTTGGCCATCTGGTTACGTTAATGCCAGACCGAGGGTGGGGGGGGGGGGTAAATGGAAGGATGGAGTGAGGGATGTATTTTTGGGGACATGTTTACACCATGTGGTATCCGCCTCTCTTTCCAACACTCGGGGCTATGAACAGCTGATGGTTAAATATTACACAACCAGCCCCCTCCCCCTTCTGATTCTTTTGGAATATTTTAGACATTATATCATCACATTACCTTCAGGATTATTGCTCAATGTGTTAAATGGCTTTCCTTTGCAGTTTTTTTTTTTTTTGTTTGCTTTGCTTGCCTTTGCCTGGTGAGGGGGATTTAGTGCGAGCAGGTGTTTGAGGTGTTTTCCTTTCTAGGGCTGAACTGAGTTCAAAGCCCAACAAATAAGGCTGCTCAACAGATGCTGTCCGATACAGGTTGCACACAGGCGGAGAGGAGGGAAAGTGGGAAAGAACAAAAAAAAAAACATGAATTGATTGCTTTTTGCTGCCTGCTCAAAAAGGCGAGTCTGTTCCACGGGTTTAAATGTCAATAGATCGGTTAAGAGGGCAGCCCAGTGCACAGGTTTCCTACTGGCTAGTTCATTCACCCCAGCCTCTTCTTTTTGTGTTATCTTATAGCAGTCTGAGGTGCTATGACTTGTCCGGCCACTAGAGGGCAGCCCTGTGCATGTTTTTTTTTTTTTTTTTTTTATTGGAGAATATAGAAAAGTAATGCCAAAAGTTTGTCTGTGCATCGGGGGATTTGTGTGTGAGAGTGCAGAAGAGGATGTGTATTAATCATTAGATGTTACATTTGTTGTGGTGATAAGTTATGTGTTGTATACTTTGGCTGGGAGGGGCAGGGGGGTGTGTGTGTGCGTGCGTGTGTGTAGTGGTTGGGTTGTCGATAAAGAAACGAGACAATCTAAAAACGCCACATTACTCTCATTTCTTTCTTACCCCCTCTTAAGTTGTGTGGTGCAATACCTCAATTTTTTACCAATGCCAACCAAACGCTCTGTGTGTAACCTTGCTCCTGTCCATCATGGATAGTATTTTGTATAAATTTCCCCTGAATCAACGACCTTTAAACAGCAGGGTGCTGACCCCCTGTTCGCCCTGCGTTTGAATTAGTGTTATCAAAGAGTCACCACAGCGGTATCTGCATCTCCAAGATATGGACAATCTGCCTTTACTCTGGTATAAAAACAAATTGAATTTTATTTATTAAACTGTAAATATGTAATGCAATTCAAGATAACGGCTTGGTCTTTGTCTGTTCAATATACTGTTTCTAAGCTCCGATCTTTTGTATGTCTCAGAAATTGTTTTTATATGTATTTTTTACAATAAATATGTGTGAGCGACGTTTTGTCAAAGTTCTGTTTTGTCTTTTTAAGTACTGTGTATGTGGGTGTTGGTGCTGTTAAGTGACAGGAAGCCTGTCATTTCTCAATCTCTCTCTTTCTCTCTCTCTTGTTTTGTGCTCTATCCACTGTCCTATTAAATAAAGTCAAAAGGCCCAAAAATGTAATCTATAAAAAATAAATTCTTATATTAAAAGCTGTCCAACAAAAGGAATAAAAATACCTCTGAGAACTACTAAAGTTTATTACAATGTACCTACAATCTGAAGTTATTATCATATTTAATATATAATATCCTCTAAATCAGTGGTTTTCAACTGGTGGTTCGAGACCTAAAAGTGGGTCGCAAAGCCATTTCTAGGGTTGTCAATGTGTGAATGGAATAAAAAGAAATATCGTTACTTTAGCTACTTTTCTAAATATTTATCTTAGATTCTGAATATTTAGAATCAGGACATGTATTTGTAACATTTCTATACAACATCAAACATTTAGCCTATAACATGTAACATTTAGTTTCCAATGAAATTCTTACCTTTATATTCACAAAAACTAAATATTTCAAAGTTCACAAATATTTCTCTAAATGTGAATAAAAAGTGAAAATTCACACCAATTTTTAAGGATGTTTTTGGTCTTAATGTGGAGAAATGTTATTTGTAGTAAAGCAAAGGTGTAATTTGCAATTTCCACACCGTGAAGCTACACAAACAGGAGGTTTTTTTTTCTTCACTCTTTGTGGTCAGGAAGTAAAATCTTTATAAACAGGCTGTTAGCATAAAGGACACTTCATGAGAAGTCTCTTCCTCACACTTTGTGGTTCTTCACTGTTGTTCTCAGACACACAGCTGTAATCCAGGAGAGAAGGTAAGAAGAACATTTACTTTATTATCTTTAAAAATATAATCATTTAAACTCCGCTGCATTTCTTATAAATTATATTCTTTAATGTTAATGTTGCATTTTTTCAAGGAAAAGATCCGATCCGCCTTTTTTTTTCTCATCAACAATAAGTGATTATTATTATTATTATTATTATTATATTTTTAATTTGACCTGTCCCCCCTCATCTTTACAAGATTAGTAAAGACTGGTTTTATATGTGATGTGATGTGACTACAAATATAGACCCCCTTTTTCACAGAAGACTTTATTTTACACTCCACAGTGGGCAAAGCTCAGCTGAGTCTATAATGTGGTTCAGGTTCAGGGTCAGAACAGAACATATTGGCTCATAGTTACACTTTTATGCTTTATTAGGACACGTGGTTTTAAGAGTCAATTGTGCTGCCACCTTGGCCACGTCGCTCTTGTAAAATGGATTTTTGATTCATTTGTGAGTTCTTGGTAAAACGAGAGCCGGACGATATGGGATCTTTGTGACTGTAATTATTCAAGATTTAAGATTCCATTTATTTGTCATTTCTCTCATGTATCTGTATATATACAAAAGATAAAATGCTGTTCTCCCAGCCCCAAAGCAGTGTGACAGAAAGAAAAACATGTCAAATGTAGACTCATAAATATAGTCTACCTAAAAATCGGATAAAGAAAAAAGGGATAAAATCAGTTCTGAAAGTAAGGTAAAACATTTATAAATAAAAATAGCACAGATAATCTAAAGTAGAAAAAAAAAAACTAAATACAACAAATAACACGGGCAGAGGAGGGGGGCACAGTTTGTTAATTATCCTCACAGCCTATCATAATCATAATTATTATTATTATTTGATTTGAAATGAGAGGGAAAACATGAACACATTTTCCCACTCACACACTGATGGCAGTGGTTTCTATGTAGTGAGACCATCAGAAGAAAATAATAATAATAATCCCAACTTGGGGTTAAGTGTCTTGCCCAAGGACATATCGGACATGTGGCTGAAGGAACTGGGGATCGAACCCCAACAACCGACTCTACTAACTGAGCTACAGCCGCCCCACAAGGATAGATGTCAGACTTGACAACACGCTGCTGAAACAGAGGTTGTTTTTTTTTTTACACTTTCCTCACAGTAAAGATTCACTGTGAGTGAAATGTATGGCTGTTAAAAAGAGGAAGAATGAGATGTTTTATCAGGGCGTCGTTAACAAAGAGATAAGAGGAAATTATTTGTCCAAGGGGGCACAATCAACAAGAACTAAAAGTTCCTCTTAAGTGCATTACCAGGACTTCCATTCATTTACATCATCTCATCAGACTCAGTTTGATTGATTTCTACATCTGAAATGTGAATAGTAACAAACTTTGTTGTTGGCTTTTGGTTTCCTCCTCCAGAATGTCAGACACGGCAGACTCCCTCACACCTATGGAGAAACAGGAAGCTCTTGGTGATGATGTGTCCTCACAACCACCATCACCACCACCGTCATACGCAGAGCAGCAGCCCCCGCCCTACTCTGCTGACCCCTCAGTGTTCCCTCCATCAAAAGAGGAAACCGCCTGCACTTCCCAGCCAACCTCCGAGTACCCGTCCGTCAGCGACATAAACCCAGAGGCCCCGCCGGACTCAACTCCACCTGAAGAGCCATCGCCTTTTGATGACAAGACAGTGAGAAGAGGTTTTGTCAGGAAGGTTTGTACAGCTCTGGGTTTGAACTTTCACCGGTCAAAAAAAATAAATCCAATGGGGACTGCTGACCATCCAGGAACATTTAGATGTGTTTTGAGTTGTAAATAGTATTTGTTAAATTCAAGTTCTGTTGTTTCTAAACCAGAAATGGTTCTAAAACAACAAATGATTATTTTCTAGACTTAGCTGTATGGCTCATTTTGCCTCCCCCGGCCTTTTAAATCATTCACACTAATCAACCCTAATACCTGACATCTAAAGCATGAGGTGTGGTGAGGTCATCACGGAGCAAAGTAAGAGTGGGAAGCTCAAGAGTGTTATGCAAAACAATGTTTTAAGCACCTGAAGAGGTTTTTTTTTAAGTGCCTGCTGGAGTGAAGTATATTTAATCCCTGTTAATGATGAAGACAGCGATCCGATGTCGATGACCAGAATAATGATTCTAACAGAATGTCAACGACAAGGCAGCCGAGCCCGAAACAAGTCCCGCTTCACTGACTACTTCACTCCAACATATGAAACAAAGAATCTTGCTGTAAAGACTTTAAACTATTGCCATTCAGACAGCAAGTCAATCAAGTCAATCAATTATCTCTTTTGATCGACTTTCGTTGAATTTTACGCAGTGGAGTCGCCCCCTGCTGGTTAACAGACAGAATGCACGTTTAAGGTGCTTCAGTATTCATTTAGTTTTCTCACAGCCATAGGCTACGTCTGCTTGTTAAATGCAGCGTATCGTCGAGTTCATTTTCTACACTAGTCATGAGGGTTACTCTATGATCTCACCTTATTTTGTAAAACTCTGAAATCGACTTGCACTTTTTTTTTTTTTTTTTTTTTTAACATTTTGTCTGTCCCATATTTTTGGCTTCAGTTTCGCCCTGTTGTAATATCAAAAAAGGAGTGTGTTATTATATCATAACAAAGCTAGTACCGTATCCATTCACACTGTACAGCATCCTATTGTAGGCCTTTCATACCGCAACATAGGGGAGCAATTTTCACATCATGTCCTGAATTGTTGATTCTTTTTTCAAAAACGTATATATAGTCCCAGATTGTGATGTAAAGATGTTGCTGCTCTCTAAGGGTGGTTGATTTAGTTTAAATTGTTGCCATTTTCTCACTAAAGTAAATCCATAATCCTTAAATCTGTATCGACACTGCAAAGCGCGTTTAAAGCGCGAGGGTATCTGGAGAGTGAGGTCAGACATGGAGGATGATGAAAAGTGTGCTGATGCAACAATCTCCTTTACTAAGGTGATTTATTATGTGCATCACTTTTTTTTTTTTAAATATAAAACCAGACGTGTAAAACCAGTTAGACTTGACAAATGGCATGATATCATAATAAAGCTCCTCCCTTTATTAACTGCTTGTCCTCCTCTCTCCACGTGCAGGTGTTCTGCATCGTGATTCTCATGCTGCTGTTCACCTTCAGCGTGGTGTGTGTGTTCACCTTCTCCAACGTGGTCAGACAGGCGGTGAGGAGAAACCTGTGGATCTACCTCAGCTCCTTCTTCATCTTCTTAACTGTTATCATCGTCCTCTTCTGCTGCAAAAACTTCAGTCGGCGTCACCCGTGGAACATCGTGGGACTGGTGGGTTCAGAGAAAACCACAGAGGCCGATTCAATCCCCTGACTCCTCCTGTGGGAAGTCAATATAGGCTAATAATTACAAAAACAATCGGCACAACTTTACAAATGTAATCTTTTGGATATGATAAAACAAATCATAGCTTTGTCTTTTAAAGGTGCACTGCGTAGATTTTGTAGTGAAATTTGAAAGTTGGAAAAGTGAAACAATTCTTTGCTATATTTTCTGAACTAAATACACAAACTTTATCAAAAGGGAAAAATGGCTCCCTGGACACTGTTTGGAGCTAAAAAGCTACCAGGAGGAGTCAAGGTTTCACTGTTGCGGGGCCCCCTACATAACATCTTCCTCTGAGGACAGTTTGTGTTTAGAGTTATGAACATATACCACAGAATCTGTACACTTCTCTACCAAATCTCCAGAGTGCACCTTTAAAAGGAAAGAGAAGTCACACCGTGTCATATGAGACGATCGACCTTGATGTCAGCTAAACTAAAATGAAACTAAAAAAAACTATTCAAGATGAAATGTAGAGGTGAACGTATGAGAACAAAAAAAATAATACTTTCAACTATATTCAGGAAGAGATTACAAAACCCTTTCAGCTTGCAACCCCCAAAAATGAAGGTGCCAAAGACCGGGGACCGCCACTGTCCCTGGAGATGGTTAAAGCATATCACCTTGTGCACAGATATGCACACTATTAGTCCTGTCCAAACACTGGCAACACAGAAGAACATCACAGGGAGGAATACAACAGCCTCAAAGCTTCACTTTTATTCATATAGGAATTTATTGTAAGAAAGGCTTGAAGCAGAACATGTATAGACTTTAGCACTGAATGGATAAATAGAATAAATAGACAAACAGGTGTGTTCATCTAACTTACATTTTGAGAATTTTTTTTACTCATAACTTTCATTTAATTCAATCACAAATCTCACCTCATGACGATGGTTTTATTTGAAATTCAACTTTATATTTTCACATTAATGGGTAAAATATGCCATACTAACTATCTTCAATTATCTGAAGATGGACTCTACTTTGTCTGTTAGTTACTTTCATTCTTTTTAAAGATTCCACTGTGGAAACCTCAGTTTCCTCTAAAGTGTGTGTGCTCACAGATAACCGCAACAGGTTCTTCCTGTTTTGTGATATGTATTGAAACAAACAATACGGGGGTTGGAAGTTCACTCAGAAGATATGTACAAATCCACTTTTGTCTCTAAATAGAATAAGTTCTATTTAATATAAATATCATCACAGAAACTAGAGTCTCTTTTTGAAGCACTGAAGCTAACGTGGTTATCTGTAAAGAACGATATTGTGTAGATTCATGGAAGCCCTAGACAGACATCCATCCATACTTTTTATTTCCCGTGATAATGACTAATTTACACTTGTCTTCTTGAGATCTTGACTAATTTGATTTTTCATTGAAAAAAAGGTCATCAATGACCACTGATGACTGATCTTTTATATGTAACATGTATAACTGTACAGAAACCCTAAAAGGACATGCATACATACTTTTTATACACTCTTTTTCCCCATGAAGACGGGGACTTTCCAGTTTTGTTGAGAGTAGAGAAAGCACAAAGCAAAAAGTAGAAATATGTTTATCATACGTCCTCGTTTGGGAAATGGCAGCATGGCTTGTGTGTGTTCAGGACTATAATAATAACCATAACAATAAAATAATAGTTTTGATTTATAAAGCGCCTTTCAAGAATCTCAAGGACGCTTTACAATCGTAAAGAAAGGGGACAATAGGAGACAACAAGAGAGAAATAAAACACAACCAGACTGTTGTTAGTTTTCTAGATGTCCAGAAAGTTATCCTGATATCAACAGAAAACAAGCTTTGTTATCTCGACATGATGAGATGAATGAATCTGTTAATATATAACATGTAGATGGTTGATTGTGTTTGATGCTTTATGCTTTGTGCCTGCAGGTTGTGATCACTGTGAGCTTTTCGTACATGGTGGGAACCGTCGCCTCCTTCCACCAGACCTCGGCTGTTGTCGTCACCATGGCAGCAACTATCGCCATTTCTCTTGCAATCCTTGCATTCTCTTTACAGGTGGGAAAACCAGGCTGAGCGAAACGGCTGCATTTCAAAATGTTTCCTGTTGATTACGGTCATGCTGTGTGTTCATTTCAGGCAAAGAAGTAACTCGGGGCTTTCTGGTTTTGAAGTAATACGTTCCTTTTTAAGAAACCTTCATTTGACTGACGAGCGGGTTATGTTGCAAATGATCTGAAGCAGGAACAGAAGAAGGGGTGTGTTAATCAATTGAGAGAAAGAAAAACAGGTTTTTAAAATCACAGCTTTTCTAATTCAAACATTTAACATATCTTTATGAAGTATTTATTGTAGAGATTATGTATTTTTGTACAAATAAAATCAAAAAGGCACGCATATCTGGGAAAGTTTAAGTAGTGGATGCGGCCCTTCATCAGACATGGTATATCGTATTTTTGTACCTTGCAACATGAATGCTGCGTTGCAGTAAATCAGTAAATCAGTGTACTTCTAGTGATGAAAGATAAAAACAGAAAACTCAAAAGTACTTGGTCTTTTTTGATACTCCGATTTTTTTGAAATTTTCTAAATCCAAAACAAAAACAACCAACCAGAATTTACATTTAGTCTTATTAGTACAGATCTAATTTAACTGTTTGAAGTAGCCCAGGTTTCTATTCTTATTCATGCAGAGGTTACGTAATTTTTCTTGGTATAGGTTTAATTTTTAAGTATATGGATTTTTTTTTTTTTTTTTATCTTTGTAGGGGTTATAAATGTGTATGAATGGATTAGTTGCTGATGGTCACTTTACATAGAAACCTCTACCATCAGTGTGTGAATGTGTGGGTGTGACCTGTGATGTAAAAGCGCTTTGAGTAGTCAGAAGACTAGAAAAGCGCTCTACAAGCTCAAGTCCATTAACCATTTATTAAACAATACAGACATAAAGAATGTGTTAATGAAACAATCATTTACTGATGCCTCTCTGTGTTTTCTGCAGACTCGTTTTGAATTCAACATCTGTTACGGCATTCTGCTGGTTCTGGCTGTGGACATGATCGTATTTTTCATCTTCCTCACCTTCTACATCTCGCACGTGCTTGATGTCACCTATGGATGTCTGGGGGCCCTGCTTTTCGCGCTGGTGAGGGCAAATAACATCATTTACCGTCATGAAGGAGCAAAATCCCATCATAAAGGTCTCAGGTTCATTTGCACACTAAACAGCAGGGAAGTAACATGTGATAACAGAACTACAGCCTGCAGGCAGGTTTACAGGAAGGAATAGTTACACAATTAAGTAGAAGTGAGTCTGCTTAGGTTTGTTTTTCTGGGCTTCAATGCAAGGCACAAAAGAAATGAAGAAGTCAAACAGCAGAAAGACTTTTACATTAATTTCTGGGAGATGTTGAAATGGCCCCACACAAGTCTTTGAACATGTTGGTGCAACATCACATCTGACGTGACACCTTTATAAAACTGCACATTACAAGGCGCCTGAAACTGACGCAGCTAAATGGAATTCAGCCAGCTTTACTTTTTCTTATTTATCTTTTTGAATCTGTCTTGATTATCCTTCTGTCTGTTTTTTTTTATTTTTATAAAATATGTTCTATCTGGAGCTTTTCTCTCACCCTGTCACTTCCTCCTCTGCTTCCATCAGTTCCTGATGATCGACGTTCAGCTGCTGATGGGGAAGAAGAGCGAAGGCCTGGACCCAGAGGAATACGTCAGCGCTGCCCTCATAATCTACCTGGACATAGTGCTCATCTTCCTCTACCTGCTGGGGAGGAGATGAAACAGTGCATGCACGGACACACGCATGCGCGCGCACGCACGCACGCACGCACGCACGCACGCACGCACTCACGCACGCACGCACGCACGCACGCACGCACGCACGCACGCACGCACACACACACACACACACACACACACACACACACACACACACACACACACAGACCCTCCAAGCTGTACCCACAATGAAAAATATCCTTTATTATCATTTTACCGTATCTTCTATAAGTGCGTCTCATGACAATCGCTTTTTTTTCTGTTTCACAAGTTTGTCTTTGTGTCAGTTTTACATAAAAAAAATTGAACACAATAAATTGTTGCATGTTAAAAGTTTGTTTGTTTTCTAAAGATTTTATTTTGGGGCTTTTTGCCTTTATTTGAGAGGTCAGTGGATAGAGTAGGAAATCAGGGAGAGAGAGAGTGGGGGAATGACATGCAGGAAAGGAGCCACAGGTCGGATTTGAACCCGGGCTGCCCACTTGGCGGCATGTAGCTTCCATACTGTACATGGGCCGCAAACCTAACCGCTAGGCCATCAGCGCCCCACCTGAAAATGATCTAAACAAATGGAGGCATTCATTTTCTATTTTTTTTATTTATTAAGACACCTTCAATGAGCTAATAGTTATTCTTCAGTAGAAATGCTCATGTCAAATATGCATAAAAAAAACCATCCAAAGCATTCCATTAATTCATCCAAGAAAGATGCTGTAATCTATCACATCCATAAGGCCGTTTGTGTTTCACAAAGCACAGAATCAAACGACTTAAATGCAATTAAAATCACCATGTAGCATGCATTACAGCTTACACTGACGAGGAGACAAGCAGAGACAGAAACAGACAAAAAGTAGTACAAAATGTTTTCATTCTGTATCACATGAATACTTTCCCCAAAGCTCCAGAAACAGACCAGTAAAGCCTGAAGTCTCTCGCTATGAACCAAGAATTATTCTACATTTCCCAAAATCAACTTCTGACTGATAAAGAACAAGGTATCATAACATAAGAGCGAAAAGCCACCGTATGAAAGAACAGAAGCAGTGTAAGTTGATGCTTTTCTAATTTTCTAAAAACTCACATTCCTATTTTCAAATGTAATAACTTGTGATTTGTCTAACCCCCTCTCTGAACTTAAAAATGCTGTCATTTCCGAAAATTTCCCCAAAGCGTTTTGTCCAGAAAATTGTGGAAGAACTCAGCTTACAGAGTTCTCAGGTACAAAGATAAGTCCGCTCTTTTTAGAAGCAGCAACAAGATCATTTTTTTGTTTTTTTCACTTTTTAATTGAACGTCTAAATTGTTGTCCACAATGTTCTGTTGATCATCTTGTCAATTTATCCTGTAAATCTTGCAGTTATAAATCACTGAGAAGGTCACGCTTCTGTTACACACCCAAAAGAGCAACATGTTCAGGTTTCACATCTTATCCCAGAAACCAGTATCTAACTTTACATGAAGATTAACAGATTGATTTTTCATCCTTCATCGTGGGGAGCCAAACTTCCAAACTCTCCACATGAGACCGAGTTCACCACAGGGAGGAGTAGTTGAACTTGATCCGCAGCAGGTACCTCATGCGAGTCTGCGCTGGGTTGTAAACGATGAACTCGTTGTAGAGGAGGGAGTAAGCGTTTTGTCTCGCCAGCTTCGTCTTCACCCCCGGCCCCATCGGCACCGTCATGCCATCTCTGAGACAGACGGGCAGAGGAAGAGGAATAACAATGACCATTAGCTTTTGGTGAAGAAATGTTCTCAAAGTTTTAGCAACAATATTAATTCCTGGTTGATCTTAATCTGATTTTCAACCTTTCAGAGAGTCACTGCTTTCAGTCCATGCCTGAACGATACAAAATCAACCCTTCAGATGCTTTGAGAGAAGTGTTAGGAATGAGCAGTACCAGCTGCTGACTGAAAAGTTGAAAAGTATTATAAAAAATACAAATGGAGCAATATGGGAATGTTGTGGTTCACCTGGAGCTCCTTTCTTGATGTTGCTCCCCGCTCTCTCTCCCTGGTCTCCTACTCTATCCACTGTCCTGTCTATATAAAGGCAAAGGCCTGACACACATATATATATATATATATATATATATATGTGTGTATATACAAATGATTTGGAAAGGGGTCGGCAGTAATGGGAACAGAAGAATATACTAAGAGATGCAGCTAAAATACATATATATACTTTTATAATCTCTTAGTTAACATACAATAATTATTAATTTTTTTTTTGTGTTGTTATTATAGATTAATGTCACCTTTCCTCTTTTTGTAGTGAAAAATAGCCATTCCTTTTGTCTTAAATCTGAAGATGTCCTCAAATATCTTCTCTTGTGTGGCTGAGCTTTTTTTTTTTTACATACAAATAAACATAATAATTTACGCTTGGAGAAACTAAACCCAGAAATGTTGGTGTATTTGCTTCAAAACGTTCTCACAAATAGTGATCAGTGAAATCTGTGCTCGATTTAATTCCCTTAATTTGACTTAATGTTCCAGCTCTGTTGTAGATGATGAGCAAGGAGTAGGGCTTCAATTATTATTTTCATTCTTGCATAATCCTGCAAAATCAGGGTTTTCTGTGTTTGGGGTTTTTGACTCTCAGAAAACAGTCAAAAAAAAAATGTCCATCACAACATCGTACAGCAACAGGCCATGTCATAAAAACCATGAGTTTTAAACTGTGAAATATCCAGTTAACCACCATTTAAGTGAAAAAAGCAGCACATTCACAGCAAATCCAGGATCCTAAAACCATTACAGGTCATTTGACATCATCATAACTTTTTTAATCTAAAGATTGAAGCTAAAACACAACAAAGCAAAACATCAAGCATCGTCTGTTAGATTTAGATTTGAAGGACATCACTACATGAAACTTGTGGTGTTTCCCCTCTCTGATGACCGTTACATAATAAAACATGATTTTTTTTTTCAGCCTTTGAAATCCACAGAGAAGAGGCAGCGGAGCAGGAGAGAGGGCGCAGAACAAACGAGAGCAAAGCAAGGTCAGTCCATTAATGTATGAGTCACTGAGGAGCAAACCGAGGTCAGCGTTTAGTGTTTGGTCTTTCACTCCAAAGTGCTTCTTTCTCTCCTAAAAAACATCAAAAATGCCTTTAAAGGGCTTGAAAACAGTCCTGAACGAAGATTTAATGAACACTAGGAGGGGCACTGGGGGTCTTTGAGTTAAATGTATCACTCATAATGGTGCCCAAATGTAACAACCTTCTATTTTTTGTCAATTTGAAGTATTAAATAAAAAACATCTCAAATCAAACACAAACGTGTGATAAATGTGATGTCATCATTTTGTACACAAAGCAGAGAAGAACTTACCAAAAGGACTAAATGACAAACAGGTCATATTTGTGTTTCTTTGCTCATCAGCGTGTATTTCATTTCCTAATGTAAACCCTCACTCTCAGATAATGTAATGATTTCTGTTGTGTAACAGCGAGTTCAATCAATGTGGGGCCTGTATGAATTGTGTGACGCGTGTGCAACGCGACAGACTCACAGAGTGACGGAGTTTTTGGGGTCAGGTCCGGTCTGTCCCAGGCCTTTGGTGCTGTGTTTGCCAGCAGGCAGATTAGCGGCCTCGTAGTCGGCGTCCAGCAGCTCATTACAGTCCCCCAGGGCGACCTGCGACCGCACACAGACACAAAGAGAGGACGTTAAACAGCGCCATCCACCATCAACATGTGTGTGTGTGATGTTCAAATCATGTTGTGTTTCTTTGTTATTGTGAGTTGTGGAGATCTACAGGGAGTGAAATAAAACAGCCTCTTAGCACCAACTGGTGGTGCATTTTGTCTTTACAGGAAAAGTTTCCCCGTCTAACTTTCCCAGTGACTTCAGCAGACGACTTTGACAACAAACACTTCTCTAAGAATTGGCTGGAAAGATCATTTAACAGCTTTATATGATCAGAAATATAAGAAACAGGAAGACTTGAACCTTCAAAATGAAAATTAACTTTCTAAATAAGTCAGAAAGTTTTAAAGAAAAGCCTACACTATCAAACACACACAATGTCACCCAGTACTTACTTAAAGAGGTCCCTTCTTTATAAATCATGAAACTCTCAAAGAAAAAAAAAGCTGTAAAAAGTTATGATTATTAAGATTATGAAAAGGCGTTAAAGGTAAAGTGTAATAAGTCTGGAAAAGGCAACTTCATCTGAGTCTTCATCAGTCAAAAAGCAAACATGAGAAAGATAAAGATATTTAAAATACAGGCACCAAGCTTGATTAAATATTATTAACCCCAATGATTTGAAACATTTCCTCAAATAGAAAAACATCTGAATATAAAAGCTTTAAAGAGAATTGAAACAATGCCTTCGCCTCATTGAACAGACAACAGTCAACCTGCTCCTGGTCTTGATATATGATGGGAAAGCCATACGCACATCGTAGCAGCTTTTTAATAAATACTTTAATAATTAACCTGGCCTCTGTTAAAAGGACATGAGCTCACCTCAGACAGAAGAAGCAGTCCGACGTGGTTGTTCTGATTGGCAAAGCAGTAGTTGGCGCTCTTTGACGACATGTCAGCGAAATAGATTCCTTTCCCAAACTAGATGAAAGAGAGAAACAAGGAAAGTGTTGTCATTAGAAAAAAAAGAATATTGTTATATTGAGCATACAAAAAACAATCATTATCTGTTAGACAAGAAAAAGCTTAGCATTATAAATATTGTATCCAGAGGTGTGTGTGTGTGTGTGTGTTGGGGGGGGTGTGATAAAATGTATGTATGTAAATATGAAAATAGAAAATGACCACTACAATGTATTGATATAACATTGCTGACTGTGTTTTAAAAACCATTAAAGACTTTGTTACAAAAAAAGTCGAAAGACGATATTTGCATTTTTTCTGTCCTACCATGTAACCGGTGACGGGGGCTTCAGGGGGGCACTCGCAGCCCTCGACTGAGGATGCCGACCCAGTTAGACAGGCGGGAACCGTGCCACAGCAGAGTCCTGATAGACGGACACAGACAGGAAGTGGATTATGTTTAGAGCATATACACCATATCTTCATGGACATCACTGCACGACTTTATGAAAGAAAT